ACAATTCCTTCGACCTCATGGCTTGGTTTTTGCTCTGACATGCACTGTCAACTGTAGGACCTTATATAGACAGGTGTGTTCCTTTCCAAATCATGTCCAATCAATTGAATATACCACAGGTGGACTCCAATCAAGTTGTAGAAACATCTCAAGGATGATCAATGGAAACAGGATGCACCTGAGCTCAATTTCTAGTCTCATAGCAAAGGGTCTGAATACTTATGTAAATAAGGTATTTCTGTTTTTTATTTCCATAAATTCTTTATTTCCATAAATTTGCAAACATTTCTAAAAACTTGTTTTCGCTTTGTCATTATGGGGTATTGTGTATAGATTGCTGAGGAATTGTTTTTATTTAATCAATTTTTAAATAAGTCTGTCACGTAAAAAAATGTGGAAAAGGTCAAGGGGTCTGAATAATTTCCGAAGGCACTGTATGTCTGTTTGAAGTGTATGTATTGGATTATACAAGTGGTTAGGCATTTTCAACACACAAATGTTTCTTAACCTTTTACTGCAGTGGGCTTAATCAGGGTCACACAGAGTGATTAAACAAATCTACTTTGAAACAAAAGTATACACCTCACACACATGGTTATGGGCTTAACAAAAAGAAGACACCCGTACTATGTCAGATAAAGTTTAAATGTATTCCATTTTGAGTTTGCATCCCAATATTACACTTTATATACATCGCAGAAGACTGAAATATAACAAAACCGTTTGATATAGAAACACTGGATTTTCGGCGTATTTAAAATAAATAGACATTTTATTAATTATGAAAAATATTAATAACATTCCACCCATGAGGCCATTGACTGCAGGAAAGGGCCACAAAGACTTGAAGAGAAGTAGTCTTTCATGGTTGAGGAGAAATGGACTATCATGCATGTTGTTGATGTTAGTTCTGTGTGTGCTGTTAAGGGCAAGGCATGCTGCTTTGTTTTGAGCCAACTGCAGCTTTGTTAGGTCTTTCTTTGCTGCACCTGACCATATTACCTGACAGTAATCAAGATGGGACAAGACCAGAGTCTGAACAACTAGTACAGTTGATTTTTGTGTCAAAAAACGCAGAACTTATTTTTATAACAGACATACCTCTCCCCATCTTCACTACAACTTTGTCAATATGACTTGACCATGATAACTGACTATCCAATGTTACTCCTAGGAGTTCAGCTTTTTCAACTTGTTCAATGATCACATCCTTAAATGCACAACTCAAGTTGAGGTTTAGGTCTAAGAGAATGCTTTGAACCAAATACAATGCTTTTGGGTTTAGATGTATTTAAGACCCGTTTATTATTAATTACCCATTCTGACATTGACCGTAACTCCTTGCTCAGACTAGACCAATCACCTGGTTTGTGATTGAAATCCACTTATTCGTGTGTCTTTCATGAATTTTGCATAAGTAATTTGTGTCCATTTCACTATAATTTGTGATAGTGGGTTGCATAGGTGGGTCACAGTGGTTGCAGCATTAGCACACAGGCAGGCGGTGCGGTGAGAGAGCGAGCAGGCTCTTCATCCCTTGCTTCTTTAAAACCCAGGGTTCTGCCCTCCCCGGCACCCAGACACATTTTTGACAATGTGTGCTTCTCTCAGAACAAATCACAGGCCCCGCCATCTGGGAATTCACTTTTGTTCTTTGGTAGCTTGGAAATAAAAAAACGTTGATGTTTATTTCCCTCTAGTTTTATTGGTCTTGGATTATTTTTGTGTGCAAGAAGCGGGATTGTTGTTACTTATTTTTTTAACTTTGTTACCATTTTCCACAGAAAGTCAGCTCGTCTTTGGATGGGTGTTTTATTGTTGTTCATTCCATTTATTAATTACAGAAAAAACTCATGAGCTACTAACCACTGTGTGCAGTCTTAAAGATAGATATGCAGTTTGAGAGTAAGGAAATGTTATGCATATGGTATTTACACCAATGCTACATGTTTTTCAGAGTCTCTTTTACTTTATGGTGTTCAGAAAATGTGATTTACATATTTAAAGTGCTGTGTTTTCTCCATATTTCTCCAGTGTACATATTTCTCTAATACAACACTGGCCTCTAGTGGAGGTCTTTCTCAACGACAGTAATAATATCCTGATTGACAACTCATGAGGAATTAACAGTAATGGTTTACACCAGTCTCAGTTGTCTCTGATCTACTGTAAGTGTACAGTAACAATGGATGAAGCGCCACATGGGAAGAAGCTAATGTAAAAAAATATCTTATCATAGTGTATTTTTACTTAAATAAGCAATTTTACTCAAATCTCACGAACAAGAGTCTATAAACAAATATGTCAATATTTCTCTATCTAAAACACATTGTCATTGAAATAAGTAACAGAATAATGACAGATCACTGTTAAAACATTAGGGTCCATTTTGTTTGTAAAAGTATGATCCAAATTATACATTATAATTACTTCATCTCAAAACAATTAAGAGAAAACATATAGACATTACATCCGTTCTTATAATACAAAAAGCTTTGCCAGGTAGTATACTATAATGTGAGTGGGGGAGGAACTTTCAGGTCCCAACACTGCAGCATGATGGCATACCTGGAGAGAGTTACATATAGCACTTAGTTTTTCTCAATCGCCTACAAGCATTTTTGGATCTGTGTTGAAACGTATCTATACATTTTACATTAAATTGCTTGTTACTGGGTAAGTATATTGTAAATACGTGTATATCCATTGCAACAACATTGTAATTACAGAGTTGGTTGTTAAAGATTGTCATATTGTAAGTACAATGTAACTAAGAGGGTTATAACTAATGTTCCCTAATTTCTCCTAGTTAGCTTATTGTCGGCAAAGGTGGTTTCATTCTAACTACATAGTAATTATAAAGGTTACCCTACTGGGTTTCACTTTACATTGTAAGTTGTTAGCTCCTGGGTTGGTACATGATAATTACAAGTATATCTTATGTTAAGCATCAGTTGTCAGAGCACCTTACCGATCACTGCACCTGTACACAGCCCATCTGAAATTAGCCCACCCAACTACCTCATCCCTATATTGTTATTTATTTTGCTCTTTTGCACCCCAGTATCTCTATTTGCACATAATCTCTTGCACATCTAGCATTCCAGTGTTAATACTATTGTAATTATTCTGCACTATAGCCTATTTATTGCCTTACCTCCATAACTTGCTACATTTGCACACACTGTATATATATTTTCTGTTGTATTTCTGACTTTATGTTTTTTACCCCATATGTAACTCTGTGTTGTTTTTATTGCACTACTTTGCTTTATCTTGGCCAGGTCGCAGTTGTAAATGAGAACCTGTTCTCAACTGGCTTACCTGGTTAAATAAAGGTGAAATAAAAATAAAATAAACTACATTGTTCTTACATTTCACTTTATTCAGTATACCCTTTGAGCCACGTATGTATTGTAAATAAATACATGTATTATTATGTAAATACATGTTCATTTAAATATGTAAATTGATTGATCTCCTGGGATTTTAAAAAGACAGACTAACTTTCTGTTTTGTCTGCTTGAACTCGAGATAAATATGGTTGTGTTAATCTTTTTGCATGCAGTTTCTTTTGATTAATGTATTTGCAATTTTGACGGTATGTTTTTGATGAATGTATTTATGTTTTGAGAAGGCAACTACATTTTGAAAAAGCATTTACTGTTTTGCAAAAGGCCACAGAGTTCTGTGTCTTGTGGACTCTGTTTTGAAAATCGACAACACTGTTCCAAACTATTTTTTTGGGAAAAACTAATCGGGTGCTTTCTTCTAACAATAGGAGTACAAGTCCTACAAAATGCTTAACTGAAATAAAATAGTATTGTGCAGGCTCAGTAAATAACATCTGTAATTACACATGTGGAATAACCTTCAGCAAGTGGATGTGGAATTACACATTCCTTGTTCCAATTGTGTAATAACTGATACTGCTACAACCCTATGACCATGTCATTACATAGTAATACCTATGTAACTACTATGTGGCCTTACAGGGGCAACTTAATGTAAAGAGTTACCCAATGTGCTTTTTTATTTATTTTTTATTATCAGGAATAATATTACATTTGATTAGTTTGAAATTGTTTAGTGAAATATGCATAAAAGGAGAGTAATTGCCCATAATTCTGTACCTTTGGATAGTTGTACTTTCAATTTTGATCATGATTTAGTGACTGCAAAGAAAATGTATCGATCTTCTGGGATTTTAAAAAGAGAGACTAACTTTCTGTTTAGTCTGCTTGGACTCAAGAGATAAGTATGGTTGCCTTAATCTTTTTGCATGCAGTTAACTGAAATAAAATAGTATTGTGCAGGCTATGTACTCATTTCAACTTACGGACTGAAATGATTAAGCAAAAGCGATATGGAGGTGATTCATGGCTTTTACATATTTGAGATATTGAGACCCATGTTTGTTCCCATACGGAAAAGTCAGCCATTATGTTGTGTTCTTGTTCTCAATCATTAATCTGTCTTTCAACACTTCCTATTTGTTACTGGGAGAGGGGACACATTAGATTAGACTGTAGGATTAATCACTGATATTGGGACGAGGACACAGGGAAAAACATGTTGACGTTCATATGTAATCTCACTCCAGCGTGTGCGTGTGTGTGTGTGTGTGTGTGTGTGTGCGCGCTCTTGCGCACGTGAGGATATCTTTGAAGTGAACATAGTGATGATCATTAACTCCCAGACTACACTGCTTAACCATATTCGAATATGACTGTGCTGGACATTTACGGGTTTAACACTGCAGGTTGACCTTTCCAACATCATTTAATTACTGGCTAGACTTTCCTGTTCCTCTTTGTTGCAACTGAAGAGTTGGGAAATTCATACCCAATAACTTTCTGATTTTTTTAAGCATCTCTGTTAGTATAACCATATTTACTATAGACATATTTGTTTACTTTGAACAGGGCTTTTCTTTTAGTTCTAATATGAGGAATTTTCAACAAAATGAAGTGTTAATAGACTATCATTACCACTACTTACAAAGGGTCAGGACAGAACTGTGGTTGGGGGAGTCTCCTGCCCTTCAGTAGGTAATGTGTGTTGTCATAGGGGTCCACCTCTGGGTAGGGGCTTGCTCCTCTGGTTAACATCTTGGTGAGAAAGGATTTGGGGGTAATATAAAGTTGCTCTTTTGCTGTGTAGTAACACTATAATGAATGAAGTAACATTGTCAGTCCTAATTCCACAAATGCTGCCTAATTCTTATTATGTTATCAGAAAGTAATTCCTTCACTTACTACGTCTGACTTGGCAGTGAATTTCTGTGTCTGTAGGCTCTCAATGGCCATCCACTTGACTGGTAGCTTGGCCTTCCTGTGGTCCTGGATGCTGTAGTACTCCTTATCAAACACATCCCTGGCCATGCCAAAGTCTGCCACCTTCACTGTGGATGACTCATCCAGCCTGCACAGACAATAATAAGGGCAAGATTGGTGATCTGTGAAAGCAAGCCTGCAACTATAGTACAGTAGCATTGCTAAATAAAATATAATCAGTTTGCTTATGTCAGGTCTAATGTATAGTTTAGCCAGTCTCCAGACCTTAATCCCATAGAAATCTGTGGAGGGAGCTGAAGGTTCGAGTTGCCAAACGTCAGCCTCCAAACCTTAATGACTTGGAGAAGATCTGCAAAGAGGAGTGGGACAAAATCCCTCCTGAGATGTGTGCAAACCTGGTGGCCAACTACAAGAAACGTCTGACCTCTGATTGCCAACAAGGGTTTTGCCACCAAGTACTAAGTCATGTTTTGCAGAGGGGTCAAATACTTATTTCCCTCATTAAAATGCAAATCAATTTATAACATTTTTGACATGCGTTTTTCTGGATTTATTTGTTGTTATTCTGTCTCTCACTGTTCAAATAAACCTACCATTAAAATTATAGACTGATCATTTCTTTGTCAGTGGGCAAACGTACAAAATCAGCAGGGGATCAAATACTTTTTTCCCTCACTGTAAGTGAACATTATAATTGGAATGAGATTTAACGACATACTGTACATCACGTCATGGGTTTAACTCCCTATTATTTAAAATGGCCAATTTGACATATAGTATAATAACACCTGCTAATCCATCAGTAGAGACTAAAAGGTATGGGAGTAGTAGCCTATGTGCATTTGATTGTTGTCTAAAAAACACAAAAAGCACTCTCTGTGTAGTGCTGTACACACTGTAATGAGACTGACCCTTGCCAATGATCTGGTGATGCTGGACAATGAGCATGTCTGCTGGGATCAGCACATCCTTCACCTCCTCCAGGAGCTCTGGTCTGAAGCTGGAGATGGAGATCTTCTCAGGGGGCAGGAGGGGGGTGAGTGTGGGGTCCATGCTGCCTGCAGCGTAGGCCAGGCTGGGGAACACCACTGGGCTTCCCAGAGCCGAACTTGGCCTCTGAGGCACGACTACTAGAGTGGTAAAGGGCAAGGTCAGTAGAGTTCCTTCAGCATGTGTAGATAATGCACATACATCAGTGTGTGTAGATAATGCACATACATCAGTGTGTGTAGATAATGCACGTACATCAGTATGTATAGATAATGCACATACATCAGTGTGTGTAGATAATGCACATACATCAGTATGTGTATATAATGCACATACATCAGCATGTGTAGATTTCAACCACTGAATAGAAACTGAACGAGATACAAAATATATATTACCCAATTAGAGTCTCACCTCTTCTGTAGTCACCTACAGGTGACAGTTCCACACTACTTCTGTAGGATCGGTTGTGGTTTTGGGCCAAACGGGTCTCCACTTGAGAGGCTGGAAATGTCACAAGAGTTTTCAATCGTAAACCACGGGAGTAGGAAACTGCATCACAGTCAACAAGACAATGTTAGCTACCACTGTCACTGTGCATGGCTGTAGATGTCCTACGTTAAACCAGTTGCATAAGACATTATCATTACATGTCATGGGGTTGTGTAAGATGACCTGATCAAAGTCCAGACAGACAGGGAACCCCACCTTTCTTCTACTTCCTCAGGTGCTTCATGACTACGAAGGCCAGCACGGCCCCTGCCACCAGGGCCCCCAGTATCCCCAGTACGATGCATACCATGTAGTGGTTACTGACCAGGACCACAGCCCCAACGTTGTGAACCTGCCCATTGATGGAGATCTGGGGAAGGAGAGACAGTGGGTGGGTCTTGATTGATTCATTTTATTTCCTAGTTTAAAAAACACATACACACATAGATACAAACATGTTATTTTTTTTCTATTGCTCAGTCTTTAGCCAGCTTTTGACATTCTTTTTAAATGAAGTTATGGTCGGCATGGTCACACACAAGTGGAGCCCAATAGTAGGATGTTTATGGTTAACATACTCTAATGTTGAATGCACAACATAGTGTCCATAAACCAACAAACCTTCACAGGCAGTCCTTCACTGATGGTTACATTTCTGGGGATCCTGCAGGTGATTTAATTGTCCAGAACTTTCGCGTCATAATCCACTCCTCCCACTGTCATAGTGATTGTCATGCAGGAACTCACAAGGTTCAGTTTCTGGTGCTGTGAGGGGGAAGAAAAAGAGTTCTGAGTTTTCTACTTTAACATTTTTAAACAATATGTAAGCAATAAAAAACAAAATTCCTATTCCTTCTGACAGTAATTACCAGTCAAATAGACATGACACCATGAAAAATGTGTGTTGTTATGGCGCTGTTGCACTTACATGTAGTGACACTTCATCTTGTCCAGGGTACAGCCTAAGTACATGGCCCTCAGTTTCAAAGGGTATGGGTTCGCCATAGGGGTGGTAGGACAACTCTCCATTCCACAGTCCAACAGCTCCATCCATATCAAAGGAGAGCTCCCCTTCCTCTGTCTCTTCCCGGGGGAGAGCAGGAGTTATGCACTCCATCCGTGTGAGCAACGACTTGCCTTTGCACTCCTGGAGGGAATTATAAAAGAGTTGTATGCATATGATTACATGAAACATATATTTTTTTATCTCTATCATGTATACAGTATGTGGTTGTATAATATTTTATTGGCCCGTAACGAGATCTTACTCTGGTGACAGGTTTCAGGTGGCCCTCATTGGGCCTAAAGCGGATGAAGGTCCTGTAAACAGAGTCCAAGTTCTTCCCTTCAATGATTATCTTTGACCCCCTGGAGTCAACAGAGAAAAACAATGGAGAGTGGAGTGAGTGACAATAACATTTGCAGATTCTACAGAGACCCACCAGCAGGGCTTAGATCTATCCACCTTTTATTTTGGTTGAGATGGTGACACAGATTGTTAAGGCTGGCCTACCTGTCGAAACTGCAGTCTGGGAGGACGGCTGTGACCTCTGGGTTCTCTTTGTAGTAGAAGACTTTGGTGGTGAGGACAGGGGACTTGTCTATGAACACACTGAGGGGGATGTCCCTCACCTCCGAGATAGGCTGAGACAGACAGATGATGGAGGACATGTTCCCTCTGGGCACTGTGACTCTGGAGACAGGTGAAGTAGGGAGGAGTATACTCCTACAGGTCAGACTTAGGGTCACCTCACTCTACACATAGTTTTATGTGTTTATCACCCTACATCTGACACATTAAAAAGTTTAACAGACTACTTAAAATATATAGTATATTTAGAAAATAAAAAAAAGGATCCACCACACTGACTTAATCATCACAACTAATTTACTAGTTTTTCATTCACTCCCTGTAATTGAAAGGTTTAAATTAAAAATTAAAAATAAAGTAGTCTGAGCACAGATTGCGATCAGTTTCCCATACTGACGTTACTGTACACACACATTCTGGGACAAGCATAGGGCTCACACATGTAAATAGTAGATAGTAAATTATGTCATACAGGCAGGTATTTTAGAAGTACAGGTTAGAGAAAACAGGCTTTGGGTGAAGACGTCACAGGAGAGCCATAATGACATAACCAGTAACTGGGTCATTCCACGAAATGAGTGCCTTTTGCGTCCTTTGATATTTTGCACCAAAATTGAAATGAAAAGCCTGTTCTGTTCAACTACGTGCCCTGTAATATAGACCACATGGAAAATTCAATAAAAGTAGATTTTTTATTTGAATAAAGACTTGCTAAAGTGCCGAAATCATAATTGTAAAGCCTTAGTTATTTTGTTTCTTTGACAAAGTAATTTCTGAAGATTATTATTTATTTCATGTGATTAGTGATTCATTTGATTAGTGATTCATCCCACAAGGTCAACCATGTTACGTGAACTGAACACTCATTTTAATATGGTTAAACTATTCCTTTTTAAATATTATTTTCAAAAGAAACATTGAACATCTAATAGTCAAATCATAGTGTAAAAGCAGGTGAGCTGGATTGTGTTTTGTGGTGGAAAACAGAGTGGGCCAAGCATAACACGTCAACCCTGTTACCCATAGATAGACAGGCTATAAATGTTTTAACAATTTCATTTTTTTTGTGAAGCTTGCATTCAATTACCCCTCCCTGTTGCACACAACAAGCTTCCACAAGGGGATTAATGGCTGATTTAAGATGAAATTGTCAACCCTGTTACAGTCAACCCTGTTACTTTATTTGGCACTTAATAGGCACTTACTATAGTAATCTTTTGGCAAAACATGTTTTTTATTATGTTGAACATGACAGAATGTAAACATTTTGTGAAATCAAACGTTTTTTCACCAAGTTACACATCTCAAAATGCACCGAATTGGTGGAATGGCTCAACTACATCCACCTGGTGATTGGGCAGGGCTCTCCATTCAGAGTGACCTTCCTGGTCTTCCCAGCGTCCAGGTGAGGCCCAGTCACAGTGATCAGAGTTCCCCCAACACGAGGCCCGTAGTTGGGCTGGATTTCTGTGATGTTGGGAATCTGCCAGAGGGAGAAAAATGTCACCGGTTTAATCCTAAAGCCATTCATAAAGTACCCCTGAAAGTGTGATGGTGAATTTGTATGTACAACAGAGGATACTTCCAAACTCACTTGATAATTACAGTATGTCTCTGTTACATGTAATAATGCATCTTATTATTTACAGAGGCATAATCAAATGAGTCACCCAACTGAAACTAAGTAGTGCAATCAATTGTAGATTCAAATTACCACAAAGGTAAATCCTGGCATCTCTGATTTCCCGTCGATGGAGTAGCGGCCCTCCACCTTCCCCTCATGCACCTCCACAGTGATGTTAACTGATTTGGACAGCTCAATGGGCCCCGAGCGGATCTTACACACCAGGCTAAGGAGTGGCACAACAACAGTGTCAAACTAATAAAAAATAAAAAAACATTGATGAAGCAGAAATTACCATGAGACGTCAACCCATTTCAGTTGAATTAACATCTACAGTATGCTGCATTACTGGCCCATACTAGTTGAGTAAAACCTACCTACTGTACACCTATATGTCAATTTCACTAATATGATCCACTGTGTATCTCAAATCAAATTAGATTTTTCACATGCGCCGAATACAACAGGTGTAGACTTCATTGTGAAATGCTTACTTACAGTGCCTTCGGAAAGTATTCAGACCCTTTGACTTTTTCCCCATTTTGTTAAGTTACAGCCTTATTCTAAAATTGATTAAATAAATAAAAATCCTCAGCAATCTGCACACAATACCCCATAATGACAATGCAAAAACAGGTTTATAGAAATTTTTGCAAATGCAAAAAAATGAAATATCACATTTACATAAGTATTCAGACCCTTTGCTACGAGACTCGAAATTGAGCTCAGGTGCATCTTGTTTCCATTGATCATCCTTGAGATGTTTCCACAACTTGATTGGAGTCCACCTGTGGTAGATTCAATTGATTGGACATGATTTGGAACGTCTTTATAAGGTCCCACAGCTGACAGTGCATGTCAGAGCAAAAACCAAGCCATGTGGTCGAAGGAGTTGACCGTAGAGCTCTGTGACAGGATTGTGACGAGGCACAGATCTGGGGAAGGGTACTAAAACATTTCTGCAACATTGAAGGTCCCCAAGAACACAGTATCCTCCATCATTCTTAAATGGAAGAAGTTTGGAACCACCAAGACTCTTCCTAGAGCTGGCCGACCGGCCAAACTGAGCAATCGGGGGAGAAGGGCCTTGGTCAGGGTGGTGACCAAGAACCCGATGGTCACTCTGACAGTGCTCTAGAGTTCCTCTGTGGAGATGGGATAACCTTCCAGAAGGACAACCATCTCTGCAGCACTCCACCAATCAGGCCTTTATGGTAGAATGGCCAGACGGAAGCCACTCCTCAGTAAAAGGCACATGACAGCCCACATGAAGTTTGCCAAAAGGCACCTAAAGACCCTTAGACCATGAGAAACAAGATTCTCTGGTCTGATGAAACCAAGATTCAACTATTTGGCCTGAATGCCTAGTATCAGGTCTGGAGGAAATCTGGCACCATCCCTACGGTGAAGCATGGTGGTGGCAGCATCATGCTGCGGGGGTGTTTTTCAGCGGCAGGGACTGGGAGACTAGTCAGGATCGAGGCAAAGATGAACGGCGCAAAGTACAGAGAGATCCTTGATGAAAACCTGCTCCAGAGCGCTCAGGACCTCAGACTGGGGCAAAGGTTCACCTTCCAACAGGACAACGACCCGAAGCACACAGCCAAGACAACGCAGAAGTGGCTTCGGGACAAGTCTCTGAATGTCCTTGAGTGGCCCAGCCAGAGCCCAGACTTGAACCCGATCGAACATCTCTGGAGAGACCTGAAAATCGCTGTGCAGCAACGCTCCCCATCCAACCTGACAGAGCTTGAGAGGATCTGCAGAGAAGAATGGGAGAAACTCCCCAAATACAGGTGTGCCAAGCTTGTAGCATCATACCCAATAAGACTTAAGGATGTAGTTGCTGCCAAAGGTGCTTCAACAAGGTACTGAGTAAAGTGTCTGAATACTTATGTAAATGTAATATTTATGTGGGGGGTTTTAAATATAAATTAGCAAAACATTTATAAAAACCTGTTTTTGCTTTGTCATTATGGGGTAATGAGGGGGAAAATAATTTAATCAATTTTAGAATAAGGCTGTAACCTACCAAAATGTGGAAAAAGTCAAGGGGTCTGAATAGTTTCCGAAGGCACTGTACAATCCCTTTCCCAAAAATGCAGAGTTAAAAAGTAAGAAAAATTTGCACAAAATCAAAAGGAAATGGTAACACAATAAAATAACAATAACAAGACTATATACAAGGTGCACCAGTACCGAATCAATGTGCATGGGTACGAGGTAGTTGAGGTAATTGAGATAATTTGAACATGTAGGTAGGGGTAAAAGTGACTAGGCAATCAGGAAAGAAAATAAACAGAGTAGCAGCAGCGTATGTGAAAGAGTGTGAAAGTGTGTCTATGTGTGAGTGTGTGTGTGTTGTCAATATGCATGTGTTTTGTGTGTGTGTGTGCGTGCATGTGTGGGTGGAGTCCGGTGAGTGTGCATAGAGCCGGTGCAAGAGAGTCAGTGCAAATAAAAAGGGGGTCAATGCAAATAGTCCGGGTAGCCATTTGATTAACTGTTTAGCAGTCTTGGCGCTCTGGTACCGCTTGCCGTGCAGTAGCAGATAGAACAGTCTATGACTTGGGTGGCTGGAGTCTTTTACAATTTTTAGGGCCTTCCTCTGACACCGCCTGGTATAGAGGTTCTGGATGGCAGGGAGCTCGGCCCCAGTGATGTACTGGGCCGTACACACTGCCTTCTGTAGCGCCTTACAGTCTAATGCCAAGCAGTTGAAATACCAAGCGGTGATGCAGCCAGTCAAGATGCTCTCAATGGTGCAGCTGTAGAACTTTTGAGGATCTGAGGGCCCATGCCAAATCTTTTCAGCCTCCTGAGGGGGGAAAAGCGTTGTCGTACCCTCTTCACGACTGTGTTGGTGTGTTTGGACCATGATAGGTCCTTAGTGATGTGGACACAGAGGAACTTAACGCTCTTGACACGCTCCACTACAGCCCCATTGATGTGAATTGGGGCGTGCTCGGACCTCCGTTTCCTGTAGTCTACGATCAGCTCCTTTGTCTTGCTGACGTTGAGGGAGAGGTCTCTGACCTTCTCCCTATAGGCTTTCTCATCGTCGTCGGTGATCAGGCCTACCACCATTGTGTCGTCGGCAAACTTAATGATGGTGTTGGAGTCTTGCACAGCCACGCAGTCATGGGTGAACAGGGAGTACTGGAGGGGACTAAGCATGCACCCCTGAGGGGCCCCCGTGTTGAGGGTCAGCGTGGCGGATGTGTTGTTGCCTACCTTCTGTCATTGTTAGTGGTACTCACTGTGTGTTGTTGCTTCAATATATCCACATAATTTTCCTTGCTCATGATGCCATCACTTGTGTGAAGTGCACCAGTCCATACTGCAGCAAAGCGCCCCCACAGCATGATGCTGCCACCCCCATGCTTCACGGTTGGGATGGTGTTCTTCGGCTTGCAAGACCCCCCTTTTTCCTCCAAACATAACAATGGTCATTATGGCCAAACAGTTCTATCTTTGTTTCATCAGACCAGAGGACATTTTTCCAAAAAGTGCGATCTTTGTCCCCATGTGCAGTTGCAAACCATAGTCTGGCTTTTTTATGGCGGTTTTGGAGCAGTGGCTTCTTCCTTGCTGAGCGGCCTTTCAGGTTATGTCGATATAGGACTCGTTTTACTGTGGATATAGATACTTTTGTGCCTGTTTCCTCCAGCATCTTCACAAGGTCCTTTGCTGTTGTTCTGATATTGATTTGCACTTTTCGCACCAAAGTACGTTCATCTCTAGGAGACAGAACGCGTCTCCTTCCTGAGCGGTATGACGGCTGTGTGGTCCCATGGTGTTTATACTTGCGTACTATTGTTTATACAGATGAACGTGGTACCTTCAGGTGTTTGGAAATTGCTCCCAAAGATGAACCAGACTTGAGGAGGTCTACATTTTTTTTTCTGAGGTCTTGGCTGATTTCTTTTGATTTTCCCATGATGTCAAGCAAAGAGGCACTAAGTTTGAAGGTAGGCCTTAAAATACATCCACAGGTACACCTCCAATTGACTCATGTGATGTCAATTAGCCTATCAGAAGCTTCTAAAGCCATGACATCATTATCTGGAATTTTCCAAGCTGTTTAAAGGCACAGTCAACTTAGTGTATGTAAACTTCTGACCCACTGGAATTGTGATACAGTGAATTATAAGTGAAATAATCTGTCAATTGTTGGAAAAATTACTTGTGTCATGCACAAAGAAGATGTCCTAACCGACTTGCCAAAACTATAGTTTGTTAACAAGAAATGTGTGGAGTGGTTGAAAAACGAGTTTTAATGACTCCAACCTAAGTGTATGTAAATTTTCGACTTCAACTGTATCTTTATGATAACCATACACACATATGACTAATTACATTTCTTTGAATTCATCAACACATTATTCCACATAGAACCTAGCCAGCATTAAGATCCATTGTATGATAGGGTAGCTAACTGCTCCAATCTAAACTTCCCTGCATTAAACAAACACATCCCTCTCCCCAGTTCTTCTCACCCCGGTAATACCAGGGGGGCAAGACTCGTTCCTCCAGCGGCCACTGCACTCCTCCTCCCAGGAACACTCTCCAGAGCACCAGCCACAGACCATGAACTCAGGGGCTGTCAGGCACATGGCACAGGTCATGAAGTGCTGGCAGCCTGGCCCCCTCTGAGGCACCTGGATCACCTGCCAGCCAAAGAGAGAGATTTGATTAACTTTGATTCAATCAAAGAGTCACTTTGATTGCTGTGTTTGCTAACTGTAACTGACTTTGAACAGGCTTTTCCAAACCTTGTCTCCAACCACAAACAGTAGAGATTCTGATGAGCACACAGAAGCAATTGAGGCGACCCTCTGGTTCTCTACCAAGGTGTAATTGGCAAAGATAATAGGGCTTGATCTTCTCAAAACAAGCTGCCAAAAAGACAGAGCAGATCGTTAATAATCTATCGAAGAAGAGCAGAACTACAGTATGTTCACATTTTAAATTTAACTCCATCTTGGATTAGATCAAATGGATCAGGATCACACTCTATTGTGAGCTCTCTGTCCGCCTCCATACCTGCAGGAGCCGTCCAGTGGAGGTGCCAATGTGCGCCACGGTCTTGTTCTCTATAGTGGTGACAAGCAGGGAGGTGAGCAGGACGTAATTCATCTGCCTGTTGAAGAGGTCCACTCTGTAATAGGGCTTAGACACCATGGTGGGGTGGTCCCTGCAGGTGGCGTTGTTCTTCATGCTCTGGTCACAGGGTGATAGGGCATAGTAGATAGGGAGATGATGGATGTTTTGAGTAGGGCCAGGAGTATTTTCTGACCATGGGCCTAGACCAGGAAAAATAATTTGGGGTAGTTATAGCCCATAACAAGCGCCCAGAGTTTTTTCTGGTCAGGATGAATCAGAATAATTCTGGGCTGCAAACCGACGACTCATAGGGGCATGTGTAAATAAATCTACTTGTGCTATTCAAATAACATATTCAAAACTACTTACACAATACTTGGATAACACGAAATTACCAAAAGCAAAAAAAAAATCACATTTCGTAAAAAAAGCTCTCTAGCTACAACCTGTTAAAGTGCTTTAGTAAATGTAGGTTATGAGGGTACTTGACATCAGGCCTTGAGGCACTATAGCCTACTGCTGTTGTTTTGTAAACAGATGTTCTAGGAACAAGGAACTGGGTGAGCAGTTTTTCTGATGCCAAGTGAACAAGGAAGAAAAGGTTGTAAAGCAAATGCACCCAAGCTTGTGTAATGCTTTATAAGGGAACACTTTGAGAACACACTGACCAATGAGTTTCTCCACAGCTCTGATGTTATTATATCAGTTCTAATCTGTGCAACTTTATTGATTGATTTAGCCCACCTTCCTCATGGGACCAGAAAACCTTTGTTCTGCTTCAGCTTCCTGAATGAACCACAATGGCGTCTGACCTCGGATGCCAAAGACCCACAGTGATTCATAGCTCTCACTACTATATTATATTTATTATACTGATGTGGTACAAAGAAACTCCATCTAAAGAGGTACAAATAACATGTTTAATAAACATAATCAATTGTCTCAGATGTCAAGTTCCAACAGTCATTGTCATGAATATGCACAAAAACTAGAAGAACAAGGATATAACCAAGGAACAGTATGTGCTTATTAGTTCAGGTCCAACAGAACTGTTAGTGCTATTTGGGAATAAAAAATCTGTACTACTGACACAGATGCCAAAATGGAATATGCCTTATCAGTGTATTTTTCTGACTGTCTATATCTATATGTTTTCTCCCACAATACTGTACTAGGAAAAGGTTGGCTAAGGTGGGTTTGTTTCCATGGTTTCATAACATCTGGGCATGCTGGAGGAAGAGGGCAGACAGTGTGGCAAAGACCAGACAACAATAAGCACTCAACGCCACGGGCCAGTAAAATAACACATAAATAGGCTTCAAATTATATGACTAAATATACCCACTTCAATAATACCTACTACACAACAGATAATGACACTCATGGGAAGTGTAGTTGTTCTTCTGAGAAGCAGGGTTATTAGTAGCAGCTGTGAGCTACTGTTGGGGAGGGAGGGACCAGGATTTCAGATTCCTGTAAATTCCAGCTGGCAGGCCACTCCTGCCCTGAATTGTGAAAACACAAAGGAACAGCCAATTACTGTAAAACAGTAGTCCCTCTCGGAGTCACGTTCACTGCGGTTATGTTGGTTGTACTGGGGTACGGCTGTAAAAATCCCTCAAAATCTATTGTTGATGCCCATTCAAATTAGCCCCCCTAAACAATCTCAGAACCAGAGATCTGTAGAGGTCAGGGAATATTTGGGGAGTCAAATGAGATCTCATAGTAGTGACACTCACTGGCACGTTTTCAGTTATTTGCTGATATTCTTAGTCAATAAATTAAAATTTAAAAAATAACAATCAAAAATGTCAATGGACATTATGGCAGACACGTAGTTCAATTTCACAGTATTAAAACATGTTAATTCCCAGCTAAATGAGGCATACAATTCATTTGACTGACAATAAAACATTGCCAAAGTCACCATTCCATGAGAGATTTATTCAAAGACGCATATCCGGAAACAGGTTTAAAAGCTAACTAACTCCCAAACGTTGGCCTCTGTCCAAAATCATGTTCCTTTTCAGCTGTTTTCTTGTGTTGGCATAATGGTGTGTCCTTTTTCCATTAAGCAGTTTTCCATCCCACAAAAAACCTTCCAGACAAATGATTGCTCTCTAGAGGAGTCAAGAGCCAGTGAATGCTATTGGTTACTACAGGAATCGTATAACACCAGTGTCATGGCCTGTTTAAGTGTTGTCTGTCCTGAACCTGATAAAAAGGATAGCAGCCTAATTAGATTTCAAAGACACTGTTTGGTTACTGCTAAATATACATGTAGAATTTTGATTAAGCCTAAATCACAGTTTCCCTTTCATGGATATGTCATCTGGATCATGTGAGATGTAAAGGATGTGTCCATAGTGGATCGACTACCCGAAGCAGAGAAGAAAAATAACTTGTACACACTATAAAGTCTCTGCTTTGGACTGGCCAATACATGTATGCCCAGGCCAGAAACATTTTGTGGAGCAATTGCATTATGATGTCAATGGATTTCTCTGTGTCTAGATACCTGTTTGCACATGAAAACACAGATAAAGGATATATTTTGTGATAAGAGATTATTGTATGTCAGAATCAAAATAACTCCTTCCTTACAACCCTCCTCTGCTCCTGTGTAAACCAAATTGAGCAGGTTGAGACAACCCATTGTGTGATTAAATACAGACCATTAAACTCTGACACCCTGTTTTTGAATAACATCCTTGTCATGTCCAAATCAAATCAAATCAAATTGTATTTGTCACATGCGCCGAATACAACAAGTGTAGACCTTACAGTGAAATGCTTACTTTGTTTAGAAACATTGGAGTAAAACAAGCTTATATTTTGGGTTCAGATTGGGTACGACAGTTGAACTAAGCTCATGGAGCATTTATAAGTTAAATTCTTTATGAATCAATGGGTACATATCATTCAAGTCCAAAAATGGATGTAGCTACTTCAGATTGCTAGCCTGACAACTCACACTAAATTATTCCGCTGCTCTGTCGTTCGCTACATACTTGCGGAATAATTTAGTGTAAGGGTGTTGTACAAAACAAATTCATCAGTGATTTGATCGTCTCTAACCAATCAGAGTATCAAAGCCAATGAAGAATTTTCAAACCTCCACTGGACCAATCAGACAGCCCCGAACATGTTCGCATTCGGTGAAGGGTCGGGGAGGTACTCAGATCCAGACTCATTGCGTAGAAGAAGCTAACACCTCTGGGCGTGGCGTAGCGTTTGGCCAGAGCAAGGAGTCTGGGTAGCCAGGCAAGCAGATTGCCGCTTTAAATAGTTACTAAATAAACCCAAAGGTCATATCTGATGCCAGTTGTCTTATGATATCCTACAGACAAAATCCTCACACTGTGTTGTACTCAGAGATGAACACATACACATGAAATGTCATATAATTTATTTATTTGATTATTTATCATAATAGTAGACAATTCATCTCTAGACAAATGGGTAAAATGTTGGCAGATCTAGGAGCTAGACTTACCCTAAAACTCTAATAATGTCTTTATAGCACAACTATAAAGGCAGTTAGGCATGAAAAGTAAGGGAAGGCTTTTGAATCACCTTGACGGTGAATGTGAAAATTGATGGACCCCATGTAAACTCTTGTGATTTGTGAACAACAACAACAAATCCTATTATTACAGACAACTCAGAGATTCCCATCTTAAAATAAAGATACTTTCCCAAGTACATCACCTTTGACAGTGAAATCCATGATCCAAAACCCAAGCAACAAATAAAGACACACAAATAATAATTAAATGAACTCTTCCGAGCAACACAACAATAATCATGGTAGAATTTTCACCTTGGAGTATGCAGATAAAGTACATTTTTTAAGTATGTGCATATACTGTAAGTAGAGTGCATGGGGCTAACTGCATTACAGTCAGTAAGTGAGATGAATCTTTCTTGGTTTCATAAATTAATGGGTTAACCATTAGGGACTCTTTTGACAATATTAGGCAGGTTTCCATTGAGCCAATTTTATTAGACAAAAGTAATGTCACAAAAAAATAATAACAACATTGCGACGTGTAATGGAAACGGCAGCTATAAGAGACATTTTCTAAACATCGGTCAGTCTCTATTTGCAATTTTTTTACATTTTACATTTTAGTCATTTAGCAGACGCTCTTATCCAGAGCGACTTACAGTTAGTGAGTGCATACATACTTTTTTTATAAAACCAGTGCACTAATGTTTACCCAGGCCAGCAGGTTCTCAGTCTCTCCACAGCGGTAGATGGAGCGCAGGGGGCGTGTCGCGTGGTGCAAGCGGCTGTGGAGGTACTGGTACAATCCCATCAGCCTCTCCTGCTCCTCAACAGATTGGTATGGCAAGGGCAGCTCAGTGCTGGTGGAAGACACAGCAACAGAATGGAAAAACAACTGGAGGTAAGCAGGGATAGGAGATTGGTAACAAGGACTATAAGCCGTATAAGCCGTGATGGTGTACACCAGCGGCTCCCAAACTGTGGTTCCCAAAAGGTGGTTCCCCCACCCCAAAAAATATATTATTATTTGTATTTTTTTTTTTAAAGGAACTCAGTCCAGCTTTCAACTTACTCTTGAAAGTTTTAATAGTAGAACGCACAAGGAGCAATTTCGAAATTGGGTAGTGCATCATCAGTTTTCCTCTTGTCATGTCAGTCATGCATTCCTTAGACAGCTATTTATAACTTGTCTGAAATGTCCAGATCAACTAGCCCATGTCAGCTAAACATTTTTTGCTAGGTTTTTTACCCATACCCATGTGGTGCAGGTACTGGTCCTTCTTGCGTACCAGGGTGACCAGACGGTCCCCAGCCAGGAGGATGGAGAAGACCAGGCTCTTGGTCTTGGCAGCCTACAGGCTGGAGGAGACCAAATCGCAGGTGGAGCTGGCCAGGGGGAGGCAGGTGACAGTGCTGAGGAGCAGGCCCGGGTCACGGTTGTCCGTGAGGTGCTCGGAGCCTGCCAGTAGGCAGCACAGGTTGTAGTTCTGCTTGTGCTGGAAGATGTGGTTGAGCTGGGTGAGGGTGAGCTGGCTGACGATCTGGTAGTAGATGTTCTGCAGCTCACGCGTCAGCTCTCTATCTGACTGACAGGTCCGGGATACGCCCACCAGGACCAGAGGAGTCTTGTGAAGGAACACCACTTTGTAACCGTCTTGAACAGAAGATTTGAATGAGAGGGCAATGAAACATCTACAGTACAGACAGACAGTTTTTTTTGCAATATGGCATATCTTACTGACTGAGCTTTGATTTTATGTAGCCTACTTCATGGTTGTTCACTGACAAAAACTATGACAAGGCAACTTTACCCTCTAACTCTACTTTTCCACTCCACAGAGATACTCCCCACACCTTCTACTCACCTGTGTGAATGCAGCGGATTATATTATTGTCTGCCTCCACGATGGAGACCAGTGCCATCATGACCCCCATGGTGCTGAGAGGGCCTCCTCTGTGCCGAAGCGGGTGTAGATGGGCTTGCCTGCCTCACTCAGTACAAACACGTTTCCTGTGGCTACGCCAGGCCTCACTGCACACATCCTCTTCCTTACTCCTGCTTTCTGGGCACACCTCCTCCTTCTCTACCTCCACCTCAGGCTGCTTCTCCTTCTGGGTCTCCTCCTCAGCCCTCAGACACAGAGCCTCCTCCTTTGCAGACTCTCCTGACTCCACAAGCACAGAGTCTCTTTCAGTTTCCGTCTCAGTAGTCGCCTCACTGTCAGCAGTCAGGTCCTCAAAGGACTGTGCATGAACAAACATGGCACTCTCCTAGCCAGCACCTGTGGAGATGAGATGTTTTTAATACAGTGATTCTTGACATAAACCCATTCTCATAAACATATGAATACAGGGGGAGCATATATGGCTTAACTCACTGTCCTGACAGCAAACCCTGGGTTAAATATTGATTGGTCTGTTATATTGTACTATTATGTACAAATGCCAATTGATGAAATAGTGAAATCTACAGGCAAAAAAAGGAAATGAGTAAAAGTGTAATAAAGTAAAACTGAAATCAGTATATGGATCTTCCTGGAAGGAAAGAGAATTGAGCTACTTCAACTGTGCTTTGACTACGACACTAAAAAGTCATTCCAGACAGAGATCATGAATGGTGTGTATTATGATAGCCTCCAGTAGAACACCACTATGACATGGGTTGCCTAAGGGGAATGGGAAAAAGAGGGAGGCCATCTTTCATTGAATGACAGCAAGTCATATCCTATTGGATATTGATCTAATCTAGATGACACTTCCATCTACCGTAACAGAGTTCTCAAGTCTTTTGCCAGGTCAGACAATGATTTAAGTTCTCCACTGGAAATATAAAATCAATGAAAAGAAAGTTGAAACTCATAAACCAAAAAAACAGATTCAACACTGGTGGTACAAGCCAACACAATAAGCTTCCCAGTTCTTGAGTCCTATTTTCAATAAACAAGCGTGCCCTATCAATCATAATCCAACCCACATACTCTCATAGTCTAAAACAGAGCAAAACCTACCACTTATTTCAAATACCACTTATTCTAACTCCAGGAAGAAAAGTATGTGGATGAGAAAGGATACATGTGAGCTCTTGTACATGGACATTCCTACTCCCTCTTATCCAGTCAACACACACTGACAGTTTGTTCACAGGGTCGTTCCATTTGATTTCAATCACTTTTTGACTGCACCCCTTTTGATTTGAACCAAACTTTCCGTACATATTTGTCCATGGTAAAAGTGATCAGAAAGTAACTTTTTGGACCTGAATGCCAAAACATTTCGGAGATGGAGGTGCTCAAAGTTGACAAATTTTGCATACCCCACCCTACCATCCTGTTTTTAATTTACATGCTCCCTCTCGGCCAAATCCTCCGAGATTATAACATCAACTTCCACTGCTACGCTGACGATACCCAGGTTTACATTAACACCAAACCTGACACCATCTCAGGGCATGGATGAAAGAGACTTCCTCCAGTTGAACAGAAGCAAGACTGAGGCTATACTTATTGGGACACCCAAGCAGGTCACCAGTGTTGGAAACATCTGCCCTACAATCAACAGCCAGGCCATCCACCTGTCCTCTGTCATCTGTCATCTCCAACCTACGAGTCAAGTTTGATCCTTCTCTGTTCTTTGATGCCCACATAAAACAAATATGTAAAACATAATTTTTTCTAAACATTGCCCGGGTCATGCATGCCATCACTCTCCCAGCCAGATGCAGAGAAACTCAACCACACCTTCATTTTCTTTCGGATTGACTACAGAAATGCGCTGTTTGGGGGCCTCCCTGCCAAATCACTACAGAGGCTCCAACTAATCCAGAACTCTGCTGCCAGGGTCCTTACCAGGACCAAGAAGTAAGACCACATCACCCCGATCCTGGGCCAACTCCACTGGCTACCGGTCAACTACAGGATTGACTTAAAAATCCTCATGCTTGTATTTAAAGCCTTGAATGGTTTCAGTCCCACCTAAATCAGCGACCTCATCTCAATCAGCGAGCTACTTTGCACTCTCCGCTCCTGCCACTCCCTACTTCTTCAAGTCCCCAAGACACGTCTCCAAACTATGGAGGACGGAGCCTTCTGCTCCCTTGCCCCTCACCTATGGAATGATCTCCCTGACCATCTGAGAGCCGCGCCATCACTCTGAACTTTTAAAACGGGCCTTAAAACCCACTTCTACATATTGTCTTTTACATAGTCCTAGCCCAATCTAAAATGTATTTAGAACTTAGCCCACTATTGCTATTTTACCTGCCTTGATTCTAAATGTATGTTGTTTTTATTGTATATAATGTTGTCAGTAGAGCTTTGAGATAACTCCGTAATGAAAAGGTCCTCCCGAGAATATTTTTAAAATAATTTTCCTGTAATTCTACAGTGTTTCTTAACAGGGGGAAATCCATATTTATGAACAGAACTGTGCTGCCATCTTGTTAGAAGGTAACAGATTATTTTATTATAGTGATTAAGAGTGACTTTCATTGTGTTCCATGGTGTTTAGCGCCCCCTAGTGGAGCTTTCTGGTACTTAGAAATATGGACAAAAACCGGAAGTAAAGTAGTCATTCTGCAAGCAGACAAGCAGCTAGAAACAACGCTACTGTACAGTTCTTTCAGTGCAACTATTTCTTGTTACGCTTCAGCCTCGGAAAATATTTGTTTGTAAGTTCAATTCAAGCATATTGCAAGTGATGATAATATTGTTATTGACAGAATTGCTTACTTATCAATGTTAGTTGGTTACATTTACTCACGCAAATTGCATTGACTTTCATGGATGCCGTTAGCTGTATTAGTTGCTCGTGCGTCATGTAAAAGAAGTGTAAAACATACTATAGTTTGTTACTGTTTCTAGTGTAATATGCTTTGTTATTGTACAGAAGTGTTTGTACATTATTAGAGTAATGAAAGGAGTTGGCTAGTTGTTACTCATAGAGTAATTATCTATTTGGTTTGTCGTCATGCCAGATACATGGTAACTTGGCACTTGCTTTGTATTTATGCAACTTCAACTTGAAATGTATAATGTACAGCTACAGTATGTGAATTGAATACTAAAGTATATTATTTTCTGTATTTGCAGTTTCACAACATAAACGTTTTCAATACATTCGTTCAAGAAAAGTCACGCCTTGGAAGTTTTATTGAAGACTCAGTTGTTAGCTATCTGTCTAGTTTTGCACGGGAACGCAATTCCAGGGCAGAATAAGAACACAACCATTTTTCTTAGGTTTTGCCACACTAAATTATATTGAAAACGTGTTTTAATGACTAGATTACTAATCTATTCCCTTCCCTTAAAATCCCACCCCCAATAATGAATTGACAGGTCTGAAACCCTACCAACCCTGTGACTCACAAACATCCCGCCTTTCCCTGAAAATCCCACCCCTAGTGATTGATTGACAGGTCTAAAACCCTACCAACTCTGTGACTCTCACAAATATCCTGCTCCTCCTCTGACAATCCCACCCACAGTGATCGATTCACAGGCCAAACTGTTAAGAATGTGGCCAGGATAATGCATGACAATGAGGAAATGAAGTAAAAAATGGGAGGAATAACATTGTTTTAGCCAATAAGGATTTGAATTAGAATTTTTCGCTTCGTAGGTTAAGAAGAATCATTGTTAAATTGCACATCGAGGTTTTCATTTTTGCGATCACAATAATGTAATTACAAATGTGAACTTTGATTTTTCTTTTAACAATTTTCATTTTCAACAACAACCACATTGAGTCTGCTACATACTGTATTTGATAACAAATCGTGAAGAAACAGAATAATCATGAAAAGTATGAGGAATAACAAATGTATTCTCAGCAAGCACATTAACTGACCGTTCTGTTTTTCCTCCAACATGGACTTTTTTTGGTACCTTTGTTTGAAGCACTGTCACCATGAAAATGTTTAAAATTAACTTGTCTCAGCAGCATACATATTTGATGCAAAGAGGGTAGAAATTGTTTATTTTGTCGATATTACTTACCAAGCTAAGCAGCGCTGTTAGTTTTAACGATATATAAATTATCCTGTTCTTTTTCATTTGGCGCATATGCGCGTATAACGTTGCACAGCTAGTCTAAATTGTAACGGCAAAGCGGCACGGTGCGCTCGCATATGGGGCTCACCCAGGACTGTTACTTTTGTAACTGAATGAAAACATTTTAACAATGTGATTTAACCGGTTGATGTTGGGAAAATACACAACGTAGCCTGTAAACAGCTTGGGAGGAGAAAACAATTCAGATGTAATTATGTAATATACTACTTATTTTTTGTCAATTGGGATCTACTCCATCGAAAACCCGCGAGCTACCGGACATGCAGTTTTCTGCAAAGGGGGCAACCTTTGGTACGCTGATGGAAGGCTACTCAGTCAGAGGCTGCGATACATCGAAACCAAGACATGCCCGGGCCGTACTAATCATGGTTCTTACAGGCAAAGTGAAAAGATACAATGAATTAGCTCATGATGCACGCTACTCAAATGATATGTAACAACTTCATTGGACCAACACCATCGGGCATGAAACAACGATACAAATGTAACAACTTCACAACAAAATAGATAAAAACAAATTTATTTTGCAGGTGCCTTTTCATTTTATACACCAGCGGTGCAACTAGTGCTTTCTAACTGCACTGAACTAAAACAGTGGCGCGTGGGAGCGAAGCAAAACGTTCGAGTGGTCAAAGCCATTCATCATGAGGCCCCGGGGGACGGGGTGCAAAATGCAATCTGTTAATTATCCATTTTAATACATACTAGCTCAAAACATTACTTATAATTGAAAATGACAAATTGACCTAATGGATTTTCTGGTTTTAAAAAAGTGGGGGTGCAAAAACATACGTTTGCACTCCTATTTTGAAAGTGGGGATGCAGCAGCTCCGTTTCTTCCATTGCTCAGGCGACAATGGATGCAACAGTTATTTCACTGCTGCTGTCTGAAATTATGACACAGACATTTTTTACATTTACGTCATTTAGCAGACGCTCTTATCCAGAGCGACGTACAAATTGGTGCATTCACCTTATAGCCAGTGGGATAACCACTTTACAATATATATGTATTTATTTTTTGGGGGGGGTTGGGTAAGGGGGGGTAGAAGGATTACTTTATCCTATCCCAGGTATTCCTTAAAGAGGTGGGGTTTCAAGTGTCTCGGAAGGTGGTGAGTGACTCCGCTGTCCTGGCGTCGTGAGGGAGCATGTTCCACCATTGGGGTGCCAGAGCAGCGAACAGTTTTGATTGGGCTGAGCGGGAACTGTGCTTCCGCAGAGGTAGGGGGGCCAGCAGGCCAGAGGTGGATGAACGCAATGCCCTCGTTTGGGTGTAGGGACTGATCAGAGCCTGAAGGTACGGAGGTGCCGTTCCCCTCACAGCTCCGTAGGCAAGCACCATGGTCTTGTAGCAGATGCGAGCATCAACTGGAAGCCAGTGGAGTGTGCGGAGGAGCGGGGTGACGTGAGAGAACTTGGGAAGGTTGAACACCAGACGGGCTGCGGCATTCTGGATGAGTTGTAGGGGTAATGACAAGGGGTATCCAATATCCAAGACATTATTCTAATTCCTGTTTTCATTGGAGGAAATTATTGAAGCAGCCCATTTAGCCTATGTTCAAGTGGCCACATAGTTCAATTAGAGAACTATTCATTTTATGTCACCATAAAGTGACATTGTTCAGGACAACCACTGGATTTTTTATTCTGACAAGGGAGCTGTTCTGTAGTAACATGACATCTACAGTAGGTAATAATAATAATAATAATATAATAATAATATGCCATTTAGCAGACGCTTTTATCCAAAGCGACTTACAGTCATGCGTGCATACATTTTTGTGTATGGGTGGTCCCGGGGATCGAACCCACTACCTGTAGACTACAAGTGGACATCGCTTGCTGAAGCGCAATGCCACCATTAGAGTTGCCTTGCCCACCTGCTTCTGTGCCCTCCACCAGGCCTGGGGTGGTGTTTTCAGACCTCTCGTTGCGGAGACAGTCCACTGGTGCCAGGGTGCCATTCTGCTGGACCTCCCATGGCACACCCCTATTGTGGACGTCTCCAGCCATCACTGCTACCTAAGTAACTACCTAAGTAACTACCGGGACAACCACCTGAAACACAAGATAGTAGATACCAAGTCTGTCAACATCACAGAGGGGGTAAAGGTCAACATCTGCTTATAAAACAGTGAGTTTCTGTATGAGCAATAGTGTCCTTGTGCATCCTGACTCAAAGTTTTGAGTATAATACACTGACAGGGTTTCTGTGTGACTATGTTGCTATCATGATAAAGATTAAAGGGAAAGATGACTGGTACAACACTCTTCAAAGTCAATGGCTATAGCCATAGAGATGGAAAGAGGCCTCATCATTGTATCTGTGCCGTTATGGCGTATGTGACAACATGAGCATTGCCATTGAGGCTATCTCAATTTTTAAGTAATACATTTTCTTCTTCACGATTGGCTGATCCCTCCTGATGACCCAGTTGGACATGACTCCAACAGGATCACCAGGAGGGATCAGCCAATGAAGTTGGAAGTCCCACAACGTTGACTACATTAAAATGGTGGAAGCCCTTAATTGCGCTCCCTCAATTGCGCTGCGGTGCCAATGCTAATATGGCCTTTTGGCCACTAGAGGCCTTTATCATTCTCTATGGCAATAATGTCACACCACAATGTCAACAATTTGAGCTGATCTTCTTTGAGCTGTTCCTGACCTGCTGAGACAGCACACAGATAAAACAATGAGACAGATATTTCGCCAGATGTATAAATATGAAACATTTGCTTGGCGTTTCCACTCACTTCCAGATATGGCAGTGGGAGAAGCTTAATTAATTAATTTTGGCCTAGCTACATTCTTCAAATGTTCTCATTGATTAAACATTTGATCTCAATACAGTTTTTTTTTTTTTTCCCAAAACTAAAATCTGTTATCTTAATTGCGTTGTTTAGAAGGAGTGCAAGGGCGAATTGAGTTACTGCACATATTGCACACATGCCCTTCACAAAGTAGGCGTTCCCTAACGGAAATATGCCAATTCATGCTGGAACACGCCAATAGGATCTCGCAAGCTCCTGATTGGCTCTACCCTCTCCTTTTGCCCACTATGACTCATTTGTTTACATTGCAAACGACAGGCAGTGGTCTATCTTGGGTTAGTTATGAACATCTTTGGACAGCACTTAGCTGCTATCTATGCAGCTAAATAGGATAGTTAGCTAAGAAGCTAATGCATTTTCCTGCGTGTAACGTTACACAAAATATTCTTAATGCATAGCTACCTTTAATTTATTCGAGTCGAATTAAAATGCATGTTGAATGTTGTAACGTTATCGTAAACCGTTGAGTGTCACACCTTATGTGTAAAATAATACCACTCGCTAAGGCTGGCTAGCACATCATTTTCTGACAGGTCACGGAGGTACAGGGGTGCAATCATTAGTACAAACAGTTGCGTTTTGCAACGAAAACGAGTTTCTTTTCGACAAATTCAGGTAGGTCCCTCCCCGTTTCGTTCCGTTTAAGAAACGGTTTGCAACAGAATTGGCGTAATGAATACACCCCAGTTTCGCTATCATTGTACCATGTGTAATTAAGTATTTTCTCCCCATTTTTGCGCGTATTGGGTACGTTCCCGAATGCTTGTATTTTCACTTCACCAGGGTTTGATTGCCGTAGATTCGTTTATATAAAACTCGCTAGTTTTGTGGCGGTTAACACTATTTCAAGTTTTAAAAGAATGCGACGGTTTAGTTTAGACTAATCTCTTTCACTGCAAAGCTCAGACTGAAAGAAAGCAGACAAATCTGAACGTACCATTTTGATGATTACGTACACACACAAGGGGCGGGGACTATTACGTTCGAACTGCGCGGCGCGAGTGTTGCGTGTGTGCTAGCTAGGTGTAAACAGGATTATTAGAACTGCAATGAATAATATAAGTATTAATTTAACATATACGCAATAGCTTTAAGGTAAGTACGGGCGAATGTATGCAACCTAACCTGCTGTATCGTAGGTGACAATGAGGGTTAACAGCTAGCTACTTGGCTAACGCGAGCTAGCCAGCTAGCTAGTTTGTTAACTATTGGTTAGATAACCATTGCCAATATAACAAAGCTAGCTAACGTTAGCTAGCTAGCAACTTAGCTACCGGTAGCTGATAACAACAATAGAACCAGCAAACATGACCATGTTGAACACAAACATGATAACTTGCTTTTTTCTTGACAGGGTGGTATTCAAAAATGCCTATTCGTGCCTACTGTACCATCTGTTCAGATTTCTTCGATCACTCAAGAGATGTGGCTGCCATCCACTGTGGGCACACCTTCCACTATGAATGGTGAGTTACCAATGACAGTCAGTCTCTACATTAAGGAAATATTATGACTAGCCAGTACTTGTGCTCTAGCCAAATGTAGTTGTCTAGCTATTGTTAAATGTCAGTTGTGTGTAACTTTTCACCCCTTCCTCTGCTTACAGTCTTCTTCAGTGGTTTCAGACTGCCCCCAACAAGACATGTCCACAATGTAGAAAACAGGTAGAACTAACTTGCAATACTGGTGACCCCTTCTGAACACTGGTGTTTCATTCTACACACATTACATATATCCCATTCATCTCAAAATAACCCTACAAATACTTGTTCTACATGTTTATCTTTATGTCTCTCCCCTCAGGTTAGCACCAGACACATTATCAACAAGTTGTTCTTTGACATTGGTGGTGAAGGAGAGGGATCCTCTGCGGATCCAGAGTGTTTGCAGGTAGGCCTACACCAGGAGGACTACAGTCTTTACTCATGTTGTGGCAACATTGAATATAACATTGTCATGGCATGTGAATTGGGGATATTGTATGATGTCGCTTATTTAGTGTTTCATTTTTTCCTTCTGCAGAACGAGCTCGATAGAATGAAAGCTGTTTTAAGTACCAAAGGTAAGAGGCCAGTGAACAAAACTGATGCTTGCTTTGATAGACCACGTGTCATTATGATGGTGTAAATATTTTTTGCATTTGGACGGTTGAAACATTGACTTGTATTTCTATCCTCAGAGAGAGACTGGAGGGACAGACTGAAGATGGTAGAGGGCTTGAAGGAGACTGTGGACAGGCAGAAGAAAGACCTGGACAGTGTTAGGAAGGAGATTGGCGAGAAAGAGATGCTCTGCTCAGCTCTCAGGGTAGGATATTAAGTTGTCAAACAAAGCCAAATGTATTTACATGCTCCTTTCTACCTGACATGTCTCTAACATTTTGAGGGTTTTGGGACTTTCAGAAACAGATGAAATACCTGGAAAACCAGCAGAGTGAGACTCAGGCTGCTAAGGAGGAGGCCCGACGACTCAGGACCAAAATGAAAACATATGAGAGGTAGCCCACAGACTCACACAATAATAATTTTCACACTATTGTGCTGACCCAAACCATACTGTGCTGGCTTGTATATGTTACTAATGTGTGTGTGTGTGTGTCCTTCCCAGTCTGGATGTGGTGTTACAGGGTCAGAGGGCTGAGGTGGAGTCCATGATCAGTGACATGGGTGTTGGTCAGGCTGCCGTGGAGCAGCTCTCCATCTACTGCATCTCTCTCAAGAAGTAAGGAAGGTCAAACTCAAACTTTTGCACTATACACTGAGTATACCAAACATTAGGAACGCCTTCCTAATATTGAGTTGCCCTCAGAACAGCCTCCATTCATCGGGGAATGGACTCTACAAGGTGTCGAAAGCGTTCCACGCGGATGCTGGCCCATGTTGACGCCAATGCTTCCCATAGTTGTGTCAAGTTAACTGGATGTCCTTTGGGTGGTGGACCATTCTTGATACACACGGGAAATTGTTGAGTGTGAAAAATCCAGCAGCGTTGCAGTTCTTGACTCAAACCGGTGCGCCTGGCACCTACTACCATACCCCGTTCAAAGGCACTTAAATTTTTTGTCTTGCCCATTCACCCTCTGAAAGGCACATATACACAATCCATTTCTCAGTTGTCTCAAGGCTTAGAAACCCTTCTTTAACCTGTCTCCTCCCCTTCATCTACACTGATTTGAAGTGGATTTAAGTGATATCAATAAGGGATCATAGCTTTCACCTGGTCAGTCTGTCATGGAAAGACCAGGTGTTCTTAATGCTTTGTATACTCAGTGTACATTGTCAGGGCAAAAGTGTTTTGTAAGGATATTTATTAGGGGTGTAACGATTCGTTTTAACAACGATTCGATTTGTATCACGATTCGTGGTTGTCGATACGATTCAAGGACGATATTGGTTCATTTAGAACGATACGATCCGAAACGATTCAGTGACTTGAAATCGATTCAGTAACCTTTTAGCCAAAAATTCAAACAGTGTGACTGAAATAAATACCTGGATACTGGACAGTGCAGGTGAAGTTTCCTAGATTCCTGTTTCTTGTAAGGACCGCAATGGTGGCTTGATAATTTCTCGCTCGTCGGCTTCTCCTCTGTCGTCCGCCATGCTATGTTTTGTTGTCTTTGCGCTGCTGTGGCGCGGGGCGATGACATCACGGATAGGCAGACTGAATCGAGTAATGTTTAAAGCCTTTATCATTAAAAGTGCTAAGAAAAAACATCCATATAAAGTCTGACGTGCTTAAATCCAATGGGTTATTTCCTAGTATCGATACAATCGATTTATTACATTTTAAAACGATGTTAGATTGATATATGTTGTCCAAAAGGCCAACTCGCCGAGCACAGATCGATGTAGTTGGATCATAGGAATATAAATCGATACATCGATGTAGTAGATGGATCGTTACACCCCTAATATTTATCAAGTAATTGCTATTATCCTTTGCAGAGAGTATGACAACCTTAAAGGGAGCCTCAGATCTTCAAATGAAATGTCTGAAAAGCTCAAAAGGGAGGTGTTTGCTTCAAACAACAAGGTAATGCATGTAAACAAAATGCATTCATTGAAATGTTCTGTGATAATGAGGGATGTCTCACCTACTTCCAATCTGAGACTGACAGTTTCTCTTATCTTTATAGTTACAGAAAGCCACAATGGAAATGAACAGGACCAAGGATGACATGAAAGCTGTCCAAAATGACTTGACCAACGCAGACAAAGAGATCACTGTAACGTGCCCCTAATTCTAGAAATGATTAGCACTAAATTATAAGCGATGTTATATTTGGATAATAAAAATACAAATTTAGTTGACAATCTGAGTTTACTATCCACTACTTTGTGTTTTTAACACTGTTAGAGTCTGAAGAAAAAAGTTGAGATTCTTCAAAAGACCCTGAGCACACCAACCCGCACTAACGAAGCCTTGAGCCGACTAGTCTTCGAGAGGTTTGTCACTTCACCAATCGATTTTCTACACAACACATGCTACTTAATATATAGAGAACTTCTTGGTTGATCTGGTGTTAGTCACTGATAGGGGTCTTTCCCCCTTGTCTTTCAGCCCTGCCCCAGTGGAGCTGAAACAGCCCCGTCTCCACCAGCCTGCCAACAGTGAGGACATTGACCTCAACATGACCTTTGACATCACCACACCTGAACCGGTGGATAAGAGGCCGTCACAGGTCCCATCCAAAAAGATGCGTCTGGACCCAGCCACGTGAGTCTCCCTCTACAGTGTGTCATTGACAAGGGACGTATGCTCCTGACACTTATTTGTTAAACATTCCTGAAGTATTTATCTTATGTTCTTTGTTTCTCAGGTTGTCGTCCTCGCCAACCAAACACCGTGACGCCTCGTTTGGAAGCAAGGTATTTTACCACTTCCAAGGGTTCACTTAAAACATGCACCACATGTACTGACTTTGTGTAGACTACATTGCTCTGGATAGAAGCATCTGCGAAATGACTAATGTAACATTTTAAAGCTAGGCATGTTGTACATTAGTGTGCATGGCATGCCATAAGCTTCTGTGTTTGTGAATTCTCCCAGGCCAGAGAGGAGGCGGCACCCATGGATACATTCTTCCGTAACTCCATTCTGTTCAGGAAGAAGACCTTCGGCAGCATGCTGGACCCCCAGAGGAGTAAACTGGGAGCTGTAAGTAACCTGACTCTATTGTATTTCCCTCGCAACACTACAGTTACTGTATGATTATTCTGGTATTTTTCTTACTACGGGCCTGTTCCACATTTTCACACCCTCAATTACAGTATTCAAGTACAGTGCATTCCACCTAAAGACTTCTAAAACATGACCCACATCCCTGTCATGTTACTGTCAATGACATGACAAAATGTATGACTATCTCATATTCCAGATCAGAAGTGGTTATGATGGACTTGGAGGAAGAACCAAATTCTTCCAACCTGTATCCTTTTCTTAAAATGCAGGTTTCCTGACCGGTGTTTCTCATTGAAGTGGGTGTTGAAGTACATATTGTGACTGTATTATATCCTCTATGATGTCTATTGATTAATGTCTGTTATACATTGCTGTAACTAATCTCATAGGAAACAATAGGGGAGGAACAGGTGAATGCCATTTTCCTGAATTCGGCCACCCACACCAGTCTCCTTTGTCAGAGATTCGCCCGCTCATGATGAAGGCAAAGAGAAAAAAGGTTTCCCGACCAGCTCCTCCCAAGATCTCCACCTGCCTTACTCTGGACAGTTTTTTGGAGTGACCTGTGACCTGTCCATCCCTGACTAATGCATGCGTGTCAGATGCACCTCAGACACTAGGGACCAGCCCTTCTGCAACAATAGAGAGAGGAGCAACCTGAATAGGTTTACCGGTCAAGTAAAAGGACTATGGTGTACTTTAGTTTGCACGTCTTACTTGAGGGCTCGCTCTGAGCTTTGGGCATGAATGGGCACAGCAGATGTTTTGGTGTAGAATATTTGTTTTGATGTATTGAGACTTCCTTTGGCTCATCATTAAACTCTGTGTGTAGTAATCTTGTGTTGAGGCATTTGTTTCATATAATTGAGTGTGAGGTTATCTGCTGACTGAACTTTCCTGCATTATGATTATTAGCATCTGTGAAATGCCAGCCATTTGACTGTTGTACATTACAAATACATCTTATCTTTCGCACTTGAACATTTCTTGTTTTACTAACACTGTCTGAATATTGTAATACAGCATTGTATTGAATATTTGTTTTCCACTTCCCCAGAACATCATTCTCTTGTTTTAAGTGCTATTTATTTTTTTAGATGCATACTTTTACTTGATTATTGCGTAAGATCGCGTATGTTTGTGAAATAATAAACTAGTTTTTTTTTAAACTATGTATTTTTCTTTTCAGTCTACACACTATGCATCTCATTATACTGTAGCAGAGAAATCCTCTCCACAGCATGGTCCAGTAATGTGCCATACAGTCCACTCTCCATGCTACAGAATGGTTGTTACTTAGCCAGTACATTGCCGTTTTACTGTACACTTTTAATAAAGCTCCAGCAGGTGGCAATGTAAGCATGATGGCAGCCTCAATGGCTACAGCTATAGAAGTACAATAGTACAAGGGTGGAATTATTGGGGTTTATCTATATTTTCGTATTCACAGTATTTTAAGATAAAAAAAAAAACACCCATCAAGATAAAATGACTAAAAAAATGTCAAACACCTTTTTTTTCCTGAAAACTAACATAATCATTTACATTTTAGTCATTTAGCAGACGCTCTTATCCAGAGCGACTTACAGTTAGTGAATACATTTTTTTTATACTGGCCCCCCGTGGGAATCGAACCCACAACCCTGGCGTTGCAAACGCCATGCTCTATCAACTGAGCTACATCCCAGCCGGCCATTCCCTCCCCTACCCTGGACGACGCTGGGCCAATTGTGCGCCGCCCATGAGTCCCGGTCGCGGCCGGCTGCGACAGCCTGGATTCGAACCAGGATCTCTAGTGGCACAGTTAGTACTGCGATGCAGTGCCTTAGACCACTGCGCCACTCAGGAGTACAATAATCTCAGCCAAACCAAAAAAAGTATCTTACTGCAGATAACTTAATGTTGGAAACTGAGCCACCTCCACTAAATTGTGTTCAGACAAAATCAGAACGCAATACCCCTCGGCACAGAGTAAATGCTACACGCATGTGTTCTGTGTTCTAGGACTGTGACCTGAACTGGGCTATCGTGATTTTGTCGACCATTACAGTGCCACAGTATTCATTTTCAAATAGGTTTACATCAAATAAAATCACAATATAATAATTTAAATTAAGGAAAACTTGTAACATTCCATACATTTTGAGAACACAAACCAGTGATTTAATGGCACAATATTGAAGAACACAAGTGATCATTAATGCTAAAACCAGTGATATTCTCAGTGAAATCAAGTGTTACCATAAACTGTTCTCATAATCGCAACACCAGCAGCACTGTAAAGATATTTGGAACAATCTACAGAAATGCCATACAGTACATTGTTGTCTAGCGTCTACCATACGTTGTTGTGATTCCAACAACTTAATTGTCTCAGAACACAATATCCTGTTCAGAACCACTGGTTTACTATTTAGAATGTAGCAGCACAAACAAATCATTCCTGCTAAAGCAATTAACACCAAACTAAACAAAAGCATTAACAGTAAATTATATAATATTAAAATGGTACCTTACATGAGATCTGGCAGTATTGATGTCATTAATCAAAATTCCCTACAGTTGTTTTTCTCTTTACCCACTATTACTTAGACAGCAATCTTTCATGCTACACGTAATTAACACTTCAAAGCAGAACATAATTATAAATGTTAGCCTATGAGATCACAAGCAAAGTACCCTACAGTTTTTTTCTCTTCCATATTTAATCTCTACACTAATTATTCCAGGATAAAGTGGTGCATAGAAAAGCTAGTTCCTTCCAATGTAATCAGTAAAAAATAACAATGCATCAAAGTCGTAACACCCATACAAACAGTATCGTGGAAACATTCGTATAATGTACACACAAACACACAACCCATGATGCAGTGCTGATAAATCAAGTAAACAACTAAGTTTGTTCTCAAAAGATCCTACTTTAGATAATCTAGTCAGGAAAAGGTTTAACATTTTATTAACTATTGATCCAACTAATTGTCCTGAGGAGAGAAATCAAAGATAACTAATTCATTGCCATGGTCGCTTTGAGATATCCTACTGTAAAAGGAGACTGTGTCCTGAAATCTAGCAAAGCTGTCCACAATGTTCATTGTGTTCTGTTCAGGAATCAGGATGATCCAGGATGATCCAATACATCAACTGTTCCATTTACAGTTAGGTCACAGCATGTGGCGAGTCAATGAGTGTGTATTTCAAATGACAGAAAATGTCGCATCTCCATTTTCCTTTATTTCCATTCCACCCATGTGACAGTGTAGCCTTCACCATTGATCAAAAGCTGGCCCCTTCTCCGCATGTGAGGGAGTGCTTTGCCAAGAGAGAACATTCTAAGCTGTCATCGGTTAGGTGCCAGGAGTCGTATTTATCTCTGGTTTCCTGCTGGGTTATCTAAAGTGATTGAAGAGAGAGACAAGTACTAATAGTCGTATTGAAAAATGAACACTAATCTGTTTCTATATCATTGTGAATACATACAGTAACACAGGTGAAGGATCAGTGGATACCGCCTCTGCTTTACTCACTGTGATCGGTCAGGCACTATGGCACTACTTTTGGACTCTCCATTCTGCTTGTCCTCTTTCTGGGAGAGTTGTGAGGTCACTGTGGAAGCCACAGCCTTGATGCTGCGCTTGCGTTTTTGCACGTTCTGCTCCGGTTGGAAGATGATGACGTAGACCTTAGGGATGTACAACATGCCCAGGGACACAGTGGCACTCAGGCTCATGGACACCGTCAGGGTGGTGGTCTGGATGAACATCTAGAGCAGAGGGAAAGCAGCGTGAAAGTTAATAATAAATACCTCAGTATAAACCTAGACATTTTACAATAGGGTTTGGATTGCCTGGCTGAGTACTACATTAATTGCCTGTGTTGCATTCACAACTCAAAATATTCATTTTAATCATTTTCCTTTCTATCCTATGCCTATCATTCCAACTATTAATCTGAGAATAACCTGAGAATGAGAATATAGTATTCTGAGAATATTCTGAGAATACAGTAAAACTGTACATTCAATAAATAATAATAATGATAATAATAATAATGTATGGAGGTTGTCTTACATTTTCCTTGGCAATCCCCATGACTTTATTATGTCTAATTACTGTAAGAATAAGCAATAGGATGTGAAATCTCAGAGGTACACAGTATACAGACGTTGTTTATTCATTTGAATGTTCAGGAGACAGGTGTGTTTTTAGCCTGGGATGAACGATTTATAACCCAGTATATGCACTGAGGAGTGGTGCTCTATTTATGGGCCTTCAGCATCTATTCACTGTGTTGTTCCTCTGTTGTCAGGTGGGCAACAACAATACTGAGAACAGACTTGTGGTCTGAATCCGATGCACTGACAATTCAAAAGCAGTACACGTCATTAATAAATTAAGAAATACATGCCATAATTTTTTATTTTTTTTAAGACATAGCTACATGGCACAATATCCCTCACTTATCTTCTCTGTTCTCGTCATGTTTCTTATTGGCTCTCAATGTCTTGGCCATCACTGATGTGGCAACGCATAGATGACCAGGGAGCACCGTTCATAACAGCCATTCATTTGAAAGGTTGACTCGATATGACGTAGATGCAGAAAGTAACCAGCATAGTGGGTCAATTTCCGCAACAACTAAGAGCGTTGAAGCGAGAGGCTCAACTTCTCCACTGTTTTGGTGCCCTGGCTACCACGCTGTAACAGCGTGAAGCAAACCTGTGCACATGCGCAGATACTGTGTGTGACTGTGTGAGAGCGATGTCTTGCATCTCGCTCATCTCAACATCTGCGGTGCTACTCGCAGCAACTTCATTTCGCAGAGTTTACCTTTAAAGATATTACTGACCCCAGGCTAGTGCTAGGTACGGTATGTATGTATGCCTCAGTCACTTCTAATATTTTTTCCATTAATTGGTCTTTTGACCAATCACATCAGATCTTTTCACAACATATCTTTTTTTAGAGCTGATCTGATTGGTCAAAAGACCAATTAGTGAAAAAATAGATGTGAATTGGCCTGCCTGTCTGAACGCAGCCAAAGTGTCATTGAAATATGACAGAGAACAGTTCTAATGAGATCCAGGCAATCCAGAACAGAACGGGATCTTTTCTTGTCAGGTGCATCAGCAAGGAAGTCAACCATCTGCACCAAAACAATACACATTGTATTGAAAACGTAAAAACTTAGCCAACCCCCTAAGTTTGCCAATACCTTTCATTCACACTTCCCTAATGATCAGCTTGCAATTGTTTGCACCTTTCTGAGTACCTCTCAAAATCTAATACATCAATACCCCTGCATTCCTATCTAATAACACTCCACAGTTATTGTACTATTGTAATACTTTCTGATAATAAATGGAAACTAATGCGATCTGACAACTAAATGTTATTGATGCTATATTTAGATGTTCTAAGCTCTAAGTGTGTAACTGAATAGCATGTATGGGTATTTTTTTGTCTCTCAGAGACCCATTTTGTCCCTGAGCTCATCTGACCTCTTTTCAGACCTCTGATACATTTCATTTCCATTTGCAGAGGTGAAAATACTTTAAAAGCACCTGGGGGTTGGTTAATTTCAGGCTGACTGATTTAACAACACACTCTACTAGTCTGAACATACACTACATTACCAAAAGTATGTGGACACCTGCTTGTCGAATATCTCATTCCAAAATCATGGGCATGAATATGGAGTTGGTCCCCCCTTTGCTGCTAAAACAGTCTCCACTCTTCTGGGAAGGCTTTCCACTAGATGATGGAACATTTCTGCGGGGACTTGCTTCCATTCAGCCACAAAAGCATTAGTGAGGTCGGGCACTGATGTTGGGTGATTAGGCCTGGCTCGCAATCGGTGTTCCAATTCATCCCAAAGGTGTTCGAGGTCAGGGCTCTGTGCAGGCCAGTCAAGTTCTGCCACACCGATCTCGACAAACCATTTCCGTATGGACCTCGCTTTGTGCACGGCGGCATTGTCATGCTGAAACAGGAAAGGGCCTTCCCCAAACTGTTGTCACAAAGTTGGAAGCACAGAATCATCTAGAATGTCATTGGTAGCTTAGTGGGTAAGAGCGTTGTGCCAGTAACCGAAAGGTCGCTGGTTCTAATCCCCGAGCCGACTAGGTGAAAAATCTGTCGATGTGCCCTTAAGCAAGGCACTTAACCCTAATTGCTCCTGTAAGTCGCTCTGGATAAGAGCGTCTGCTAAATGTATAATAAATAAATATAATAAATTGTATGCTGTAGCGTTAAGATTTCCCTTCACTGGAACTAAGGGGCCTAGCCCAAACCATGAATAACAGCCCCAGACCATTATTCCTCCTCCACCAAACTTTACAGTTGGCACTATGCATTCGGGCAGGTAGCGTTCTCCTGGCATCCTATGACCGTGCCTCGTTGAAGATCACTGAGCTCTTCAGTAAGGCCATTCTACTGCCAATGTTTGTTTATGGAGATTGCATGGCTGTGTGCTCAATTTTATAGACCTGTCAGCAACGGGTGTGGCTGAAATAGCCGAATGCACTAATTCAATGGGGTGTCCACATACTTTTGTATATATAGTGTACTTCCTTCTTTTAAATCCTGACCATTGTTCCTCTGTCATTCAATGAAGAGGATGCTGAACATACTGTGAACGCCTCATGGAAAAAAAATCTGATATGACAGGTAACAAACTAACATTTGATAACAGTGTTGACAGTTCTTCAATAGAGAAGGTAGCTCTAGAACCTATTTTAGAAAACATAGTTCTAGGGTTGCATTTTTAAGTATATAAAACATTTACTTTCTCTGCCAATGGATAAATACCAGCAAATATAGAAAGATGACATTGATTTTCAAACCTTCTCAGTAGACTGTGCTGTACCAAAGAAGATGGGCACAAAGGCCAACCAGATGATACAGGTGGTGTACATGGTGAAACCAATGGGCTTGGCCTCGTTGAAGGTCTCTGGCACCCCTCTGCTCTTGATGGCATACACAGTGCAGGTCACCATCAGCACGATACTGTAGCTCAAGCAGAGGACCAGGGCCAGGTCGGACATGTCACATTTTAGGACCCCACGTGCAAACTCTGGGTTGGGCGGCCGCTGCTCCTCATAGTCTATGATGGTGTGTGGGGGCACCACTCCGAACCAGATGAAAACGCCAAGTAACTGTGGAGATACAGAGAATGATCCAAAGATTGATTTGGCCCATGATTCAGCAGATTAATCTAATTCTACTGTATACCATTCCAGACACCATTTCCTGTGTCTTTAACAAACACTGTTGTATTACTGCCTTGTTTTCATCACATGCAGTAGGAGAGAGGCAGGAACCCACTCACCTGCACTCCAATGAGTATAAAGGTGATGATCAGCTGAGAAGTAGGGCTGATGAACGGAGGTGGCGTGACTGCTTTCTTGCCCTGCTCAAAGATACGGTAAATGCGGTTGGTCTTGGTGAGCATAGCTGAGTAGGTAATACACATGCCCAGGCCTAGCAGCAGTCTGCGGAAGGCACACACCGGGGCACTGGGCTCTGCGATCATGAGGAAGGTGATCAGGTAAATGAGGAAGATGCCTGTCAGGAGAACGTAGCTGAGCTCACGGCCAGAGGCCCGGACGATGGGGGTGTCGTTAAAGCGGATGAAGGTGAGGATGCATCCGGAGGTGGCCAGGATGCCCAGGACAGCCAGGAACACAGGGATGATGGCCCAGGGGGAGCTCCACTCCAGCTTGATGATGGGTGTGGATCGGCAGCCCGTCCGGTTTGGCATGGGACGCATATCGAAGGGACACATGTCACAGTTTAGCTCATCCAGTTGGTATTGATATCCGTCACACAGCTCGCAGTGCCAGCAACAGGGCACACCCTTCACCATCTTCTTCCTCTCTCCTAGTTCACAGGGGAAACTGCACACCGAGTCAGGGACTGCACGGTCCCCACCCGACCACTGCATCTCCTCAGCCTTTAACAGAAACAGAGACAATGCTAAAGAACCTCAAGTGAACTCCTGAAGTAGTCATATCATGTCATTATTGCGAGAAAGAGGATGAGTGACTAAATGGAGCTAAATAAAAGTGCAAGAATAACTGGAATGAGTTTGGTTAAATTGAAAGGTGATTAACTCAAAACACAAACAGTACATTCCTCAATGCAATAGCAACACTGATAAAGTGAACATCATCATCGAAAAATCGAATAGACCAAAACAAATGTTTACATTGAGTCGCAGTTGGTTTGTCCACTGGCCAATACACCGGTAGCCAGGGTTGGTGGTGTTGGAGAGTTGGAACTGGAAGATGTCATAGCGACCAGGAGCATCTCCATTCTCATTGAACATGACCCCAGTCCCTGCACTGCCTGTTGGATAGAGGAGCAATCATTTTAAACAGGGCTACCCGATATTGGGCAGTGCAATGCCTTTACCTTTGACCAAAGAAAAATGAAACCTAAGGTGAACCTAAGGCACGTGTCTTCTGCAACCAGGGCAAAGCTGAGCATAAGATTCTTCCTGCTGAGGGTTCCTTTCCATACATTATGCTATTTTTATGTACTCTCTGGTCTGTTGCCTTAACACAAATGCTCGTCGGATGTGGCAGGGCTTGAAAACTATTACAGACTACAAAGGGAAGTACAGCCGCGAGCTGCCCAGTGACACAAGACTTCCAGACGAGCTAAACCACTTCTATGCTCGCTTTGAGGCAAGCAACACTGAAGCATGCATGAGAGCACCAGCTGTTCCGGATGACTATGTGATCACGCTCTCCGTAGCCATGTGAGTAAGACTTTTAAGCAGGTCAACATTCACAAGGCCGCAAGGCCAGACGGATTACCAGGACGTGTACTCCGAGCATGTGCTGACCAACTGGCAAGTGTCTTCACTGACATTTTCAACATGTCCCTGACTGAGTCTGTAATACCAAGCAGACCCCGTTTCAAGCAGACCACCATAGTCCCCGTGCCCAAGGACACTAAGATAACCTGCCTAAATGACTACCGACCCGTAGCACTGACATCTGTAGCCATGAAGTGCTTTGAAAGGCTGGTCATGGCTCACATCAACACCCTTATCCCAGAAACCTTAGACCCATTCCAATTTGCATACCGCCCCAACAGATCCACAGATGATGCAATCTCTATTGCACTCCACACTGCCCTTTCCCACCTGGACAAGAGGAACACCTACGTGAGAATGCTATTCATTGACTACAGCTCAGCATTCAACACCATAGTGCCCTCAAAGCTCATCACTAAGCTAAGGATCCTGGGACTAAACACCTCCCTCTGCAACTAGATCCTGGACTTCCTGACGGGCCGCCCCCAGGTGGTAAGGGTAGGTAACAACACATCTGCCACACTGATCCTCAACACGGGGGCCCCTCAGGGGTGCGTGCTCAGTCCCCTCCTGTACTCCCTGTTCACCCATGACTGCATGGCCAGGCACGACTCCAACACCATCATTAAGTTTGCCGACGACACAACAGTGGTAGGCCTGATCACCGTCAACGATGAGACAGCCTATAGGAAGGAGGTCAGAGACCTGGCCGTGTGGTTCCAGGATAACAACCTCTCCCTCAACGTGACCAAGACAAAGGAGATGATTGTGGACTACAGGAAAAAAAAAGAAGAGGACTGAGCACGCCCCCATTCTCATCGACGGGGCTGTAGTGGAACAGGTTGAGAGATTCAAGTTCCTTGGTGTCCACATCACCAACGAACTATCATGGTCCAAACACACCAAGACAGTCGTGAAGAGGGCACGACAAAGCCTATTCCCCCTCAGGAGACTGAAAAGATTTGGCATGGGTCCTCAGATCCTCAAAACATTCTACAGCTGCACCATCGAGAGCATCCTGACTGGTTGCATCACCGCCTGGTATGGCAACTGCTTGGCCTCCAACCGCAAGTCACTACAGAGGGTAGTGCGTACGGCCCAGTACATCACTGGGGCCAAGCTTCCTGCCATCCAGGACCTCTATACCAGGCGGTGTCAGAGGAAGGCCCTCACAATTGTCAAAGACTCCAGCCACCCTAGTCATAGACTGTTCTCTCTGCTACCGCACGGCAAGCGGTACCGGAGTGCCAAGTCTAGGTCCAAAAGACTTCTCAACAGCTTCTACCCCCAAGCCATAAGACTCCTGAACAGCTAATCATGGCTACCCGGACTATTTGCACTACCCCCCCCCCCCCCCCCCACCCACCCACCCACCCCATCTTTTTACGCTGCTGCTACTCTGTTAATTATTTATGCATAGTCACTTTAACTCTACCCACATGTACATATTACTTCAACTACCTCAACTAGCCGGTGCCCCTGCACATTGACTCTGCACCGGTACCCCCCTGTATATAGCCTCCCTACTGTTATTTTATTTTACTTCTGCTCTGTTTTTCTCAACACTTTCTGCTTGTTGTTTTATTTTACTTTTTTATTAAAAAAATTAATGCATTGTTGGTTAAGGGCTGTAAGTAAGCATTTCACTGTAATGTCTGCACCTGTTGTATTCGGCGCATGTGGCCAATAAAATTAGATTAGATTTGTTCCTACCTGTTCCCTTCAGGCATTCAATCAGAGAGGGCTTCCATACAAGCAAAGGGTCATCCACAAAGAGGGAAAAGGAAATAGCTATGCTTTTCATAGAAAGCTCCTTGACTCCAATCAAAATATTTTTTTATGAAAGATGGAGATGAAAATAGTGTTTCTTGTGTATGAAGAAAGAAGAGAGGCAGCCCTGGGGAACAATAGTGCATTGAAGAGATGTGCTGTGTACTGTGGCTTAGTACATTAGCAGAGATTGCAAGGCTAAAGCAGAGTGCAGTCCTGTCTTCAGACTGACCTCCATCCACACTGTTTTGGAGTGACTGACCTCTCAGACTGACCTCTCCGATGGGATGTGATGGGAACCAGGAGTGGAAAAGGCTTAATGAAACCAGGACATTTAATTAATTAAAAAATATATATCATTTCAATTATCAAGAGTATTATCTGATTTGAGACAGCAACAGCAAAAAGAAAAGTCTGTTGATCGACTTTGAAAATGAATCTTCTATCCAAAGTTTATTGAATGTTCCCAGACCTGATTAACTGCTGCTCCAATGGAATCACTCAAGACCCTTTTTAACAACCCCTGGTCTCTACATTTCCAACTCACCATTAAAGTTCACTGAGCGAATGTATTGGAGCAGCTGACTCCCTTCTACTGGGTCCATCTTCTCACAGACGCCCATGAAGCCCGGACAGAGGTCCAGGTGCATGCTGTGTAAGGCATGGGCCATGGAATACACTGCGTCTATCACAAACTGTACTTTCCCTTCCTGCTCGTACTGAGATTCCTGAGCGATTCTCTCTTCACCTGATGAGAGGAAGGGTGCATACAGTGGTTAAAATCAGTGTAGCCTGTAAGCAAATCTGCTTATTTGAGATAAACAATTGAAATATGTCAGAAATAACCTCTTCTCCTACCTGTACATTTTCTCCTACCAAGGTCGTACTTGATACCTGGTCGAGTCAGTTTACATTTGAAGTCGTCCTCCCAGTATTCTGCAAACCAGATGTTCCTTCTATTATTTTCCAGAGATCTTGAGGTGAAGTAGTTGTCGAACCCTGGGCAAAGGACCAACAGAGCATCACTATCACCATATGTTTAAGACTTTCCCAAACTTTCCCATCACCCACTAAAGTCATATTTTATACCTAAATATAATGTATCTCTGCAATATCTCTCGTGTTTGCCTTACCGTCGATGGAGGCCCTCTTGGGGAGGATGGTGACAGCCCCCTCAGCCACATCCTCCTGGTCCAGGATGGGAGAGCTCTTGGCCCCCCAGCTGTCAGAGCCCACAAACAGGAAGTGACCCGTCAGGTTGGCTCGCTTTGCTGCCTCCAAGACACGTCTGTGATAAGTGGTGATAATGCATTAGCACACTGTACCTTCATTAGCTCTAGAGTATATAGGAACTGGGGTGCTTAGAGAACAAGTAGCATGGTGGTTATGTGACAACATTCCTAGGGAAAGGAAAGGAGGAGTTACTACTAGTTTGCCACTAACCTGATGTCGTCCTCATTGGCAAAGATGATGACCCCACGAGCATTAGAGGTCTCCATTAGTCTCTTGATGATCTTATCAAACCCACCTGGTTTCGGCTCTCGAGGGATTTTGATGGATTGACCGATGCATAGACCTCCTGAATGAAGGGAGAAGAAAGACAAGATCCAAACCAAGGCGGCTCCTCCATTGGACGTCAAATCCTCCCCATACAGTACCATCAGTTCTAACACCATGTTGGCCATGGTTAGGCTACACCAGAACATTTAAATTTGGCACTATAATTTGGTACAAACCTGCCTCTCGAGATATCTGGAGGAAGGCATCGACGCCGCTCTCACCGTAGTTTCCTTCTGAGGCCAGTGTAGATACGTAGTTCCACCCCATAGCCTTGACGATGTCCACCATGGCCTGGGCCTGGTAGGAGTCAGGAGGGACCACGCGGGAGAAGAACTCATAACGGCTTTTGTCACTCAGCTCTGGAGCTGTGGACGCATAACTAATCTGGGGGATCTGAAAGATACAGATGTTACATGTTAATGGCTGCATGGTTTTAAGAAGAGACTGGAGACAATCATTCAATTCAAAAGGAGGGTTAATGGATGTTGGACAGTTACTGAACCATGTGGGCTGTTCTCTGCAGCACCAGACACCATGTGTTACTAACAAATCAATCTTTGTCTGGAAAAATCAGACACCGTTGTTAAACAAACCACATAATACCTTATGATGACACGTTGCCAGTCATTTTGTACCAAAATGACACTATAATTGAGAGTACTGAATAGTTCTCACTTGTCCAGCCAATGTAATCCACTGGGACATGGCGACATTCATCCATTGTAATATTTCTAGAGCTTTATCTATTGGTCTATGTCAGCCATAAAAGCCAACGTCATACAGATGGTACGTTTCAGTTCTGTAAAAGCATTTGTTTGAAAAAAAAAATGGATGAGAAGATTAATTTACTGATGTGCTACTTCCTTAATGACACACCACTAATGCCTGCCCATGGCTTGATGAGAGGTTCTTTAGAGGGACGAGTAGAGAAAGGTAGACTCACAAAGGGTTGTGAAGAGAGGAGAAGAGAGAGAGAACCATTTCACAGATTATCTGGAAGGATTATATGGGTTTTAGTCAAATTACATTAAGCACAGAGGGAGAGAGACAGATCAAGAGACAAGGTTACCATATCTCAGCTGTAAGCCATACAATATATTAAATTCTGATGACACACGCAGCTTAAATTTGCTGCTTTACTTTAACCTTTTCCCTCTAGTGAGAACATTCATCTATTACTATGATATCTATGCCATATACAGTATGGCTCCTACTATATAATCTGTCTGGGAGGGTACAATTCTATACACCAAACACTGATGTGATTTACATTTACATCATTTAGCAGACGCTCTTATCCAGAGCGACTTACAAATTGGTGCATTCAACTTATTTAATAACTTACTTACTTTTTTTAATGGGGGGGGGGGGGGGGGGGGGGGTGGATAGAAGGATTGCTTTATACTATTCCAGGTATTCCTTAAAGAGGTAGGGTTTCAAGTGTCTCCGGAAGGTAGTCAGTGACTCTGCTGTCCTGGCGTCGTGGGGGAGCTTGTTCTACCATTGGGGTGCCAGAGAAGCAAATAGCGTTTGACTGGGCTGAGCGGGAACTGTGCTTCTGTAGAGGTAGGGGAGCTAGCAGGCCAGAGGTGGATGATCAATGATAACATACATTTCAGATATTTACATTCCAACACTAATTCCAAAAGACAAGGATGCCATAATGTATCTTCAGAAATCAATTAATTATGGCTGTCAGACAGTCTATCAAAAAAAAGAAATACAAACACTACCAGTCAAAAGTTTGGACACACCTACTCATTCAAGGGTTTTTCTTTAATTTTACTATTTTTTACATTGTAGAATAATAGTGAAGACATCAAAACTATGATAACACATATGGAATCATGTAGTTAACAAAAAAGTGTTCAAAAAAATCAAAGTATACAGTGGGGGAAAAAAATATTTAGTCAGCCACCAATTGTGCAAGTTCTCCCACTTAAAAAGATGAGAGAGGCCTGTAATTTTCATCATAGGTACACGTCAACTATGACAGACAAAATAATAATAATAATAATATGCCATTTAGCAGACGCTTTTATCCAAAGCGACTTACAGTCATGCGTGCATACATTTTTGTGTATGGGTGGTCCCGGGGATCGAACCCACTACCTTGGCGTTACAAGCGCCGTGCTCTACCAGCTGAGCTACAGAGGACCACATAAAATGAGATGTTTTTTTCTCCAGAAAATCATATTGTAGGATTTTTAATGAATTTATTTGCAAATTACGGTGGAAAATAAGTATTTGGTCAATAACAAAAGTTTCTCAATACTTTGTTATATACCCATTGAGGGCAAAGACACAGGTCAAACGTTTTCTGTAAGTCTTCACAAGGTTTTCACACACTGTTGCTGGTATTTTGGCCCATTCCTCCATGCAGATCTCCTCTAGAGCAGTGATGTTTTGGGGCTGTCGCTGGGCAACACAGACTTTCAACTCCCTCCAAAGATTTTCTATGGGGTTGAGATCTGGAGACTGGCTAGGCCACTCCAGGACCTTGAAATGCTTCTTACGAAGCCACTCCTTCGTTGCCCGGGCGGTGTGTTTGGGATCATTGTCATGCTGAAAGACCCAGCCACGTTTCATCTTCAATGCCCTTGCTGATGGAAGGAGGTTTTCACTCAAAATCTCACGATACATGGCCCCATTCATTCTTTCCTTTACACGGATCAGTCGTCCTGGTCCCTTTGCAGAAAAACAGCCCCAAAGCATGATGTTTCCACATCCATGCTTCACAGTAGGTATGGTGTTCTTTGGACGCAACTCCGCATTCTTTGTCCTCCAAACACGACGAGTTGAGTTTTTACCAAAAAGTTCTATTTTGGTTTCATCTGACCATATGACATTCTCCCAATCCTCTTCTGGATCATCCAAATGCACTCTAGCAAACTTCAGACGGGCCTGGACATGTACTGGCTTAAGCAGGGGGACACGTCTTGCACTGCAGGATTTGAGTCCCTGGCGGCGTAGTGTGTTACTTATGGTAGGCTTTGTTACTTTGGTCCCAGCTCTCTGCAGGTAATTCACTAGGTCCCCCCGTGTGGTTCTGGGATTTTTGCTCAACGTTCTTGTGATCATTTTGACCCCACGGGGTGAGATCTTGCGTGGAGCCCCAGATCGAGGGAGATTATCAGTGGTCTTGTATGTCTTCCATTTCCTAATAATTGCTCCCACAGTTGATTTCTTCAAACCAAGCTGCTTACCTATTGCAGATTCAGTCTTCCCAGCCTGGTGCAGGTCTACAATTTTGTTTCTGGTGTCCTTTGACAGCTCTTTGGTCTTGGCCATAGTGGAGTTTGGAGTGTGACTGTTTGAGGTTGTGGACAGGTGTCTTTTATACTGATAACAAATTCAAACAGGTGCCATTAATACAGGTAACGAGTGGAGGACAGAGGAGCCTCTTAAAGAAGAAGTTACAGGTCTGTGAGAGCCAGAAATCTTGCTTGTTTGTAGGTGACCAAATACTTATTTTCCACCATAATTTTCAAATAAATTCATAAAAAATCCTACAATGTGATTTTCTGGAGAAAAAAAATCTCAATTTGTCTGTCATAGTTGACATGTACCTATGATGAAAATTATAGGCCTCTCTTATCTTTTTAAGAGGGAGAACTTGCACAACATTTTACATTACATTTTAGTCATTTAGCAGACGCTCTTATCCAGAGCGACTTACAGTTAGTGAATACATTTTTTTTTTTTTTCATACTGGCCCCCCGTGGGAATCAAACCCACAACCCTGGCGTTGCAAACGCCATGCTCTATCAACTGAGCTACATCCCTGCCGGCCATTCCCTCCCCTACCCTGGACGACGCTGGGCCAATTGTGCGCCGCCCATGAGTCTCCCGGTCGCGGCCGGCTGCGACAGAGCCTGGATTCGAACCAGGTTCTCTAGTGGCACAGTTAGCACTGCGATGCAGTGCCTTAGACCACTGCGCCACTCAGTCAGCCACAATTGGTGGCTGACTAAATACTTTTTTCCCCCACTGTATTTTAGAATTACATTTTAGTCATTTAGCAGATGCTCATATCCAGAGCGACTTACAGTCAAGTGAGTGCATACATTATTTGTTTTAATTTATTTTTTTCCATACTGGCCCCCCGTGGGAATCTAACCCACAACCCTGGCATTGCAAACACCATGCTCTACCAACTGAGCTACATCCTTGCTGGCCATTCCCTCCCCTACCCTGGACGACGCTGGGCCAATTGTGCGCCGCCCCATGGGTCTCCCGGTCGCGGCCGGCTACGACTGAGCCTGGATTCGAAACACTGCGCCACGCGGGAGTACACTGCGCCACTCGGGAATCTTAAAATAGCCACCCTTTGCCTTGATCACAGCTTTGCACACTCTTGGCATTCTCTCAACCAGCTTCACCTGGAATGCTTTTCCAACAGTCTTGAAGGAGTTCCCACATATGCTGAGCACTTGTTGGCTGCTTTTCCTTCACTCTGTGGTCCGACTCATCCCAAACCATCTCAATTGGGTTGAGGCCAGGTCATCTGATGCAGCACTCCATCACTCTCCTTATTGGTAAAATAGCCCTTACACAGACTGGAGGTGTGTTGGGTCATTGTCCTGTTGAAAAACAAATGATAGTCCAACTAAGCCCAAAGCATATGGGATGGCGTATCACTGTAGAATGCTGTGGTAGCCATGCTGGTTAAGTGTGCCTTGAATTCTAAATAAATCACAGACAGTGTCACCAGCAAAGCACCCCACACCATAACACCTCCATGCTTTATGGTGGGAAATACACATGCAGAGATCATCCGTTCACCCATACCGCGTCTCACAAAGACACGGCAGTTGGAACCAAAAATCTTAAATTTGGACTCCAGACCGAAGGACTAATTTCCACTGGTCTAATGTCCATTTCTCGTGTTTCTTGGCCCAAGCAGGTCTCTTCTTATTATTGGTGTCCTTTAGTAGTGGTTTCTTTGCAGCAATTCGACCACAAAGGCCTGATTCACACAGTCTCCTCTGAACAGTTGATGTTGAGATGTGTCTGTTATTTGAACTCTGTGAAGCATTTATTTGGGCTGCAATTTCTGAGGCTGGTAACTCTAATGAACTTATCCTCTGCAGCAGAGGTAACTCTGGGTCTTCCATTCCTGTGGTGATCCTCATGAGAGCCAGTTTCATCATAGCGCTTGACATTTTTTGCGACTGCACTTGAAGAAACATTCAAAGTTCTTGAAATGTTCCGTATTGACTCACCTTCATGTCTTAAAGTAATGATGGACTGTCATTTCTCTTTGCTTATTTGAGCTGTTTTTGCCATAATATGGACTTGGTATTTTACCAAATAGGCCTATCTTCTGTATATCCCCCCTACCTTGTCACAACACAACTGATTGGCTGAAACGCATTAAGAAGGAAACTTAAAAATGTATGCACACATGACTAAGTCGCTTTGGATAA